CGCCGTCGAGCTCCTGGCCGCCGTGGCCCCTTGGCTGCAGGAGCCGGCGCTGCTGGAGCGAACGGTGGGGGTGGCCCTCCAGCTCTTCAGGGAAGAGGGCGAGGAGGCGCAAGCGTCGCTGGTGGCCGGCGAGCTGCTCCCGGCGTTGGGGAGGAACGCTGCCGCCCAGGGGCGCGTCTTGGAAGGGCTCCTGCGGTCGCCCCCGGAGGGCTCCCGGCCGGTGAGCCGGACCCTGCTGGTCCTGAGCGCCCTCTCGGACGTGCTGTTCCCCGGCGGCGCTGGGGCGGAGGGCGAAGCTGCCCCGTTGCTCGAGGCCAGGCGCTGCAGTAGCTTCTGGAGAGTGTTGCAGGAGGGACTGACGGAGAGCGACGCCCTGTGCAGGAAGAGGGCCCGCTACCTGCTGAAGCGAGCGGTGGACGCCTCGGAGAGCCTGCGCTGGGAGGGCAGGTGCAGCCAGGACCCTGGAACTGGTACCTCGCGGATGATTGACCCCCCTCGCCTAGTCGGCCACCCCAAAAGGAATATGCTAGACGCACAGCCTCTGTTCTTACACCTTTTTAATGAGTGATGGGTTTTTTTTTTGGGGGGGGAGCTTCCCTGGGACGTGGTGGCGCTGCGGGTTAAACCGCAGAAGCCTCTGTGCTACAAGGTCGGAAGACCAGCAATCATAAGATCGAATCCACGTAAGGGAGTGAGCTCCCATCGCTTGTCCCAGCTCCTGCCAACCTAACAGTTTGAAAGCATGTAAAAATGCGAGTAGATAAATAGGTACCAGCTCATGTGAAGGTAACAGCATTCTGTGTTTAGTCGCGCTGGCCACATGACCACAGAAATGGTCTAGGGACAAACGCTGGCTCTATGGCTTGGGGGAGCACCATCCCATAGAGTTGGACACGACTGGACTAAATGTCAAGGGGAACCTTTACCTAGGTTCTCTGTGCTGATTTTCCCAGTTGTGGCCCACTGGTCTCCTCTGTCCGGGGTAGCTTTCAACTGTTGGTGCCACTCCATGTGTCGTTTTAAACCTGGGTTAGGTGCAATCTGCTGAAAATTGCATCTTGCCTGTGGCATACGATATGGAACAGCTGGCCTTAGGCTGGAAATAAGGGGAGTTTGTACTGGATGGCTGCATTCAGAATTCAATCCTGTAAGTGGTTAGGTTGACTGGACTGTGTCTTAGAAGTATAATGAATGTGTCACACACACACACACCCCCTTATAATTCTCCTTAAGATATATATAAGCAGCACATCTGGAAATTTAGTAAAGAGACAAGTTTCTGTTTTTTATGCAAGTGTTTCACAGAGAAAATTTAGTTGTGCAATTCTAATTAAAATTCTAATTAAAAATCTAATTAAAAAATTAAAAATTAAAAAAACCTAACTTACTACTGATGCTGTAGTTTTCAAGACTTCCAAAATGCCATCCCTCTAAAGGCTGCAGGCTCCAGCCCACAGGCTGCTAGGTAACTATGGGGGTGTTTGTAGTGTGGTACAAGAGGGCCTTAAATCTATAGTGCTTTCCATTTGCCTTCGAGCAAGAGTAGGGTTCCAGTAACATGCAGCCCACAGGCTGCTAGGTAACTATGGGGTTGTTTGTAGTGTGGTACAAGAGGGGCTTACATCTATAGTGCTTTCCATTTGCCTTGGAGCAAGAGTAGTGTTCCAGTAACATGCAGAATGAGTTGGAGAGAAAGGCATACTGTTGGCCTACCTCAGTACTTGCTGTCCATCAATCTGGGAAGCTTGTGCTTTCAGTGAATCTTGCTGATTGTTTGTGTGGTAATTGGCTTGATTTGATTACTACTTTCTTGTTAGTACTTTCTAATCTATAGACCCTTATTTATATATTGCTTTTGCTTGGAGGAAAACTATATTTTATTTGCTTATCTGTCATGTAGGACCATGTCTGTTCTGGTGGTGTGCTGACAAAAATAATCAACTTACTCAGTTTTGGGAGAATTACATTTTAATTATGGAAACTTTGGAAGGAAATCAGGTAAACATGCAAGATTTTTCCAAATCATCGCTGAGATTTGGTGTTTGTTGTTGATGGAAATATACAAAACTATGCCATGAATACTGTAGAAAGTAAAGGCGGAAACTAACATGTGGTAGTTGGTTTTGTTTATTGGTAAGCAAAATCTTCCATGCGGCCAAGGTTGGACAAGCCTGCTTTAGAAAGTAAAGGTGGAATCTAACTTGTGGTAGTTGGTTTTGTTTATTGGTAAGCAAAATCTTCCATGCCTTTGGGACTTCCGTAAATATGTAGTTTATATAGTCATTTAAACTCTATTTTCTATGGCTTTGGGGAGATAAGAGTTTGAGAAGCAAGTGACCCACTTAGTTTAAGTTCCACCGCAGTAGAGGACAATACCATGTGCAAGGAAAGTGCTGAACCGTGGTTAGACAGATATTCTGCTGTGTAGTCGCTACAATTTTTGTGCACGTGGAATTACAGTGGTCATATCAGTTAGGGTGGGTGGAAGGCATAGACCTGATCTGCTTCTTGAATACTAGGTACTTCTCAGTAACTTAGTAAAACTTTTGATTTCTAGTTGTTTTGTGGCAACAAAATGACATCTTCCTCCTTGATCATACTGCTGGAAGTAAAACAGTTTGGGGGTAACTAGTTTATTTTTTGTTTGGAAGGGCTTTGAGAGCTGTTCCATTCTAGTACTTTAAGCAAATTCCTCAGCTCAGAATTCTTCCATTATAAGTCTATGTCTTTCGCTTCAGTTAGATATCTAGTACAGTATATAGGGTTTTTTAAAAAGGTAATTCCCACAAGTCTGAAATCTGCTTATATTTGCTGTAAATTGTTGGGACAAGTAGACCTTTAACTCTTAACTACACTAACAGTTCTTTTGATTTGCAGAGTAAATCAAACTAAATTAATAATGCCTATGTTTTAAATTTCAGATACATGTTATAAAACCAGTGTTGCCCAAGTTAAATAGTTTATATGAACATGCAGTATCAGAACAAAAAGGTAAGATTATATTATGGATAATTATCATTAATTTGTCGGGCACTGAAGGATAGGTTTATATATATTTACTAGGAAACATATCCATCTGCACCCAGTTTAAAAACCCATGACTCTCATCTTGATACTTTTCTCTTCTGTCTGGTCTTTCAAAGTCTTTCTTTCACACTGGGCTCTTCTCTTTCCTCCCTGGTACTCCTTCAGCTTATACTAGGATTTGGAAGCCCATCAGACCTCTATGGACGGAAAAGAGCAGATACGGATCAAATGGTTCTCAGTGCATTCCTATGGGAAATGCAGATTTGACTTGAGAACATTTTGACTTGAGAACCGCCTTCCAATACGGATTAAGTTCTCAAGTCAAGACCCCACTGTACTAGGATTTGGAAGCCCATCAGACGCACCCCAGAGGTGTACCTTTTTCTTTAGCCCATGACAATGTTTTCACCACACTAGTCTTTCTTCTCCCCCCAGCCCCCAGTACTCATGGGACAGAAGTGTAACTTCTTTTGACTCCAGCTGCCAGCATCCTTCGAGCTAGGAGGGCCAAGCAAAATATACCTTATATAGTTATTTAAATTGGTTAATGGATAGTATCCTTGAAAAATGTGTTTCTAGCTCTGAACATTTTGCATATAAATCCACAAGTCCCATAGACCCTCTGCAACCAAGGCCAGTGAAGATATGCCATCCATTTATTGAAACTGAGATCTTGGTGGCGCTCATGCAAAATCACATGTTTCTGGCTTTTACCTTTCTGGACACTTTTTTGGGACAGAATCACAGACTTTCAATTTTACTTGAATGCTTTTCAAAACTACATATGTTTTTGAAATTTGGTCGCTCATCAGCTTAAGTAATAGTTTTTCAACCCAGATTGTAGTTTGGTATTTCTTTCTTTACATTTCCTATAAAATGAGTAGTTATGAATTCTGATACTCCACCATGTTTAAAGAACATACAAAACTTTTTTGACTTAACAGCATGTAATTATTATGAGTTGATGTAGCTCAGTGGCTTGGAGCGCTTGGCTGTGGAGCCAGCAGCTCAAAGTTCATAGCCCCACTGTGCCTCCCAGAAAAGGGGCCAACTAAGATCACCCAAAGCATATGTGATGGATGGGCTTATGTTTTCTGTTGCCCTTGTGGATTTTGGCAAGCTGCATGGTCCCAAAGCACCAGCAGAATTACAGACTGGTAAGCCACTTCTGTACTTTATAGCTAGGAAATCCTGGGAAGTTCTTTGTGCATCAGAATCAACTTGACAGCATGCAACAGTTGCTATTATTTATAGAGGTGGGCACAAACCATCCTTCAGCATGAACCACTGAACAGGCAGTTTGTGCCCATCTCTATAAATAATAATAACTTCAATACTTCCCAGCCCCACCTCCTCTAGTGGGCATCCACTACGGTAGTGCCCTGAGTTGGGGCAGGGAAGCCAGGGTATTTTTTGCCCCTTTTAATTATTAATTTAATAATAGTATGTATACATGATAAGCTCTCTTTTCTCCACTGTCCAATTAAATAATAACATAATAATAATATTTAATATTGTGATCTATACCGGAGTGCATGCCAATAGTCAAAAACAGTTAAAATACAACCATAACATAATTACAGTAATAAAAACATACAGTAAGCAATTCATTCAATAAGACAACTATCAAAATAACTATAAAAGGTTGAGAGATGGCTGTCATTTAGAATCCTGTTGAAAATTTATATTTATCTTTTTTAACATCACAGATTGTTGGGTGCTTCATCCATCATGGCACATGTGCATTTACAAAAGAATGTTTGAGAGTGAAAACAAAACATTGGCAAAAGAAGGAATTTTTCACTTTCTTGAAATCTGGCAAGCCAAACATCTCCCTGCATCTCCAGCTTTTTCAGAGGTACAATTTTCTGTTTTACTTTGAATGCCACTGTCTGTTTCCCTTGGGGAAAAAGTTAAAATCACTTGTCATTTTCATCATGCACATTTTAGAAATTATTATAAGCAGAGAGCAAGGGCAGGATACGAGTAGGATCATGGGAAAACAACATTTCTCCATCAGTATACAAACATTCTTCTTAAATATTTGGGACTCCCATTGATTGGTTTACTGTGATAATGAGGAGTAATGAGGGCAGGGGAATCGCTCAGTCTTTGTCTAAATCAGAACATGCATGTGCACACAGACAAAATAGGGTCAGGGCCATTGATAAGGAAGCTGTGCTTTAAGACTTTCCTGCATCTTCTTAATGAGTCTCATCTCGCTGTGCAGGATCATAGTCAAAAAGCCAAATATCATAGGTGCTGTAACTGTTACGTGCATCAGCCTAGCAAGATTTATCTCACTTGGGTGCATGGGAGAAGTGGAGCTGGCAGGGGGTGGAGTAGTATCATTTCAGTTACAGCATTTCTGGAAGATATTTGTAAGAGTAAGTAATTCATATTTCTTTAGAAAGAAAAAATAATCTCGTTCATCAATTAGTATAGTTCTGGAAATACTTTTACTTCTTCCATTGCTTTCAAAATATAAAATTCAGTTGAATTTGTGGATAAAGAACCTTCGGTATTTTATACAGCTGATCTGTAACACATTTTTGGTGGGGTTTAATTTTCCCCCTTTTTTCTCTTAAAAAACCCATATTGAACACTTTTTAAGGGTGGAATTGCATAGTCTGATGTTATTAAGATGTCTGTTGGTGCCAGCTTTAGTGAAGAACAGTTTTATGAGCACTTATATTCTGTACAGCAAATAAAATACTGTATTTGTTTGTGCTGTTTCTTTTAATGCAAATGTCATTTCTTTATTTAGTTTGTCATTGGCCCTTTAATGGATGCTCTTTCAGAAAGTTCTTTTTACAGCAGGTAATGCATTATTTTCAGTTAAAGACTAAGTAGATTTCTTCAGATACCGAGAAATAAGGAGACTGTTTGAGTGCCAACCATATATTAACCTTGTACAAGGGCCAAATGTTCACAACTATGTTTTATAGCATTTGAGCTTGGATCATCCCTTAGACCATCCCTTCAGTGAGGAAACAGACTGAAAAAAACCTCAGCAGATGGTAACACAGCTGTTATCCTCAACATCCAGTTATATAAACCTATGGTATAACATACATTTACAGTACTGTAAGCAATTCAGATTATTCTGTCTAAAAAAAGGATAGAGAGAGGTCGCCAATGTACAGAAAAGTATTTCAGATGTCACAGTTGCTAACTGGTTATAATTGAAAACAAGAATTGGGGATGTTTCATCCAATGTTTGACGTTCTGTTGGGACACAACCTTTCATCAGTGAACCTAGTTAATTATACACCCTTGCTAGTTTAGGCTGTGCTTGTGTTCAAATGTGTGGAACTAAAATTTTAAATGATATTTTAAAAAACGGAGGGTTGGATCTAGAAGTAAAGGTGCACAAGGGGCTGGCTTTTCTGCATCAAGAGAGTCCCCTGATCCTGCCCCAAAAGCCTGCTGCATGAGTTGAGGGATACTGCTGAATGTGGTGGATTGTGGCATGAGGGAGAAGGAGACCAAAGGTGACATGTAGGCCACCTGCTGCATTTGGAAGCTTTGATAATTGGAAAGATCTCTGTGTGATCCTTAGTAGCCACTCTTTTTTTCTCAGCCTTCTGTGTCTCAGCTAACTCTAGGCTTTTTCAAGGGGGCTGAACACTGCCAGGGAGAGCAGAGGCAGGAAACTCAGCTCATGTGAGCCCCCTTGTACATTTTTATCTCTGGGACAAATCCAGTTAAGTCTTTTGCTAATTAATCTGTCATTTTATATGCCTCTTAAAGTATAGAAATATTGGCAGTATGCAAGTTGGCTTGTTCACTAATGATCAGCTAAAAGGTTGTCACCTGTTTGCAGGCTAACCTTTGAGTTTACCCAATATATTTCTCCGTTTTTAACAGGTTGCCAGGTCAGACAACAGGCACGTGTCCTTCACTAGGAATCAAGCTGCAAAAATTTCTGACTGCTTTCTTCACAAACCTCCCAGAGGAAGAAAAAAGTATGTTACATGTTTTATTCTCGTATTACTTGAAAACACTCATGCAGTAGCCAAATCCTGCTGTTTAGTGTAGTAAATCCCACGAGAGTATGCCTGTTGAATCAATGGTGACTTGGTGAGGCAGGTCCTCTGTAAGTTCCATTGATTCAAATGGAGGGGGGCTGTTTAAAGTAAATACGGAGGAGGTACGCACTAAATCCCCATTGATTCCAAAGCCGTACTCTAGTGTGATTTACCACTCTAAGCAACAGGATTTTGGCCAGTATGACCAGAGCAAGAAGCTAGTTGAGAAGAAGGAAATGCTCAATGCAAATGTAGCCCTTGCATTTAGACTGCCACCTTGCCTGTACTGTGAGCCTCTGTATTGGGAATAAGCAGCAGCTGTGCTCAGAAAGTGCCTTACTGTCATTCTTGCAGTGATGTCACATTCATTTATTTATATCATGCTTTGTTGCCAAAATGTACATAATGGCAGACTCAGGATCACTACATATATTTTCAGGCAAGATGTTGCTTGTTCTTGAACATGTGGGGAAAGATTGGGACATTTAGTACTTTTCTGAGATACAGCTGTTCTCAGATACCTTCCTCTTTGCTCTCAATTTAAGACTACTGAGAGCATGTGGAGTGCTGGTGCAAGCTTGGCTGCAGATGGGAGGGTGTGCATGCAGGACCTTTTACATTGTTATTTAGCCGTGGGAGGCTGATCAGTAGCTTTCCATCATTTTAAACACTTACCTTGCTGCCATTGGATGACTTTTTTCCACTGGAAACCTGAGGTCTGCTTAAATGGAACTGAACAATAGCATCTGAGTAACAAAGGTTAAGAACCACTGGTTTAGTGCAGTGGTTCTTAACCTTGGGTTACTCGGGTGTTTTTGAACTGCAACTCCCAGAAACCTCAGCCAGCACAGCTCGGGGTGAAGGCTTCTGGGAGTTGCAGTCCAAAAACACCTGAGTAACCCAAGGTTAAGAACCACTGGTTTAGTGGAAGAGAGTGCTTATGAGCCACAGCATGGGAAGAACCTAACACCTGCTCTGATTTTGGGAAGAGAACAAGGCCTTTTGTTGTTGCTTGACCAGGAAGGAAGGGAGGGAGGGAGGAAGGAAGGAAGGAAAGAAAGATTTGCTGCAAATGATAGAAAGGTCTGCCAGTAAGTCATGATTCCCCTTCTGCATACCTCTCTTCTACTATACTTTGCTGGCTCATTAGTATTTATACATCTGTTGGTGGGGAAACTTGTATACTAGGCTTAATGGAGAGAATAGATATATCCAGAAATCATTTGCAGTGCAGAATTAGGTTCTTCAGGCAGTGCTGTAGGAGAGTTTTTTTGAATATTTGTTTTGTTTGTTTTATTTAGTGTCTAAAAATTGTTTTGGATTTTTTTTAAAGGTAGTTTCTTGTTAAAATTTATCCAGAAGATGAGCAAGAGGCACTGGTGTGCTGTACCTATTTTGTTTTTCTCCATGGCTCTGTCAAACATTCCCACATGTAGAGCACTGGATGCTGAAGGACTCTTGGCTCTGCGGTAACATTCTGATTTTTTGTTACTCAAATATTTTGCTACCTTGTTTCACTGGGCAGCTTTTCAACATACATCTTCTTTTGCAGAGATGTCCTGCAGTGTACTATGATTACACATCAGATTCTCCTACGAGGAGCGGCCCAGTGCGCTCTCCTGAAAGCAGCAATGCACTTGGTAGATACAGTAAGTGTTTCCAATCTGGAGTATAATTGCATTGAATTTTGAGGAAATTATTTTGCCAGATCTAGCTTAGTATTTTTTTTGGAGAGTCCTGTTCTCTTATAATGTTCTTGTGCTGCTCTTTGACTGGAATAAATGCTACATTAAATTGCATTTAACACTGTGGATGTATAGACAGTCTTTGTGTGGTAACGATGATAGCTTTAAAGTCTACTTTAATCTTGATCACTATATTCTGAATTTTAAAAAATTAAGCTAAAATGAATATTGGTTACCTAATATTAACACTGTTCTTTTCATTTTAAATGAGCATTAGGGAGTAAGAGTTTGTAAAGCGTTGTATCATCAGATATGGTTAAGTGAACGTAACAAAAATGTATGTTTTTCATTGAATTCAATGTGACGGAGTGACAATTTGCTTTTTTCTGTTTTATATAATTTATAAAATAACAGTATTTTGTTTCTACTGTAACACTGAACAGAACATGTGTTTTCTTCGTTTCTATTGAACCCCACTTCAATTGGTTTATTTAGGAGAAAGTATCCCTTTCAGATATTTCAAACTTCATTGTATCCCTGAGACCAGATGAGTCATTAGGGAGAGGGACCACATTGTGGAGAGAGGTAAGAGAAATGGAATTGGAGGACGAAGCTAATTGCTCAGTTGTGTGTTTTGGGGATATCTCTCCTGATCATGGAGACAGTATCTAATACTTATGGGATCAGCAATATGAATGCACAGCCTGGCTTCTTTCCTGCTGCAGCCCTTTAAAAAGCCTCTTGTGCAAAACAAGGAGAACCTGTAGAAAGGCCTGGGCTGTCATGTGGGGACTGTGAGGAGAGTGGGAGATCACAGGCAAGAGGGTTCCATGCAGTATGAGCGAACAGGCCAACATAACCTGCCTCTTCTCAGTTTTCAGTTCTGTTATTTCAGCCTCTTTCTCTACATGTCCAATCTCAGACCTTTCCGAAGTGTCCTCTGAACCTCAAGAGAGGCTTCTTGGAGATGTAGGGGGTCACAACAGAAAAAAAAGCAAAGGTTTGGGAGACTTCTGCATTAGTGGAATCCTCCTTGAAATTCTTTGGCTCCAGCAGCTACTTAATCTTAAATATTTTTTCTGATGTTAATAACATCATTTCAGTGTTGAAATACAACATCTGGCCATTCTGTTTTGCCATATTTATTATTATTACTTTATAAATCTCTTTATCATATTAGGGCAGTGTATAGGCAGGAAAAATGAGCAATACACTAGAATGCATTTTTGAGAACAAAAGCTGCAAATAACATTTGAAAAGAGAAATAACCCTTTGATCATGTTGGAACAAATAAAAATGTTTTCGCTTGGTGCTTAGAGGATAGCAGTGTTAACATTAGACTCTCCCTTGGGAAGACATTCAATAGGTTGGGCTATACGACTTCCTCTTTGGTATCTATGGCATTAAGAGAGTGATTAGGATGTTCAGTTTTAGCCAGCAGTGCTATAGCAGTTCAAATTTTAGAATTCACTCATATCTAAATAGATTGGTGATGCATGTGTTTGGTTTACAAGATTTCAGAGATAAGCTAAAATACTTCACTAGCTGTAAGCAGGCAAATACAATTTACAAATAGTTTGTAAAACAGCTTAATGATAGGCTGGAATAATACTATATATACTTGAGTATGAGCCTAGTTTTTCAGCACAATTTTTTTTTTTTTGCTAAAAAAGCACTCCCTCGGCTTATACTCAAGTTAGTGTCAAAATTACATGTTCTCCCCTGCAGTGCGGGTGTTCCCCGGACTCCCCCGCTCATCTACAGGCACCTGTAGCCTCTGTGGGTGAGGTTTAGTACACTGCATTTCCGCTTCCAGGACATTCCTATCCTCCTCCTGCTGCATATCTATGTACCCACCTTCCTCCTCCACCCTCCGTCTCCCTCCATCTTGTTACACAGCAGTAGAGCAGTAGATAATTGCAGCATCCGGTATGAGTCCTCCCTCCGCAGGCAGTGAAGTGTGTCTCGCAGCTTAGAAGGGCAGTATCTTCAAAAACATTTAACCTATGATGCCTCAATTAATGTAATTTTATTGGTAATCTATTTTTATTTTTGAAATTTACCAGTAACTGCTGCATTTTCCACCCTTGGCTTATACTTGAGTCAATAAGTTTTCCCAGTTTTTTGTGTTAAAATTGGGTGCCTTGGCTTATATTCAGGTTGGCTTATACTCGAGTATATACAGTAATTTGTTTTTTTCTCCCCTTAGCTTTGCGATTGGTTGCTTATAAATGACAAACACTTTCGAAGACCTTTAAATTGCAGTTTACCAGAAGACAAAACTGTATTAAATACCTATGTGCAACTTCTTGTGGAAGATTATCTGAAAATACCAGTTACAGCAGATTGTAAGTAGTTGTGAAAATATTGTAAATGATATTGTGTATTAGCTTAGTAAGGAGATCAGTAAAATTGTTTTAGAGGATAAAACTTTATTTACTTTAAAAGTTCCAAGTTGACCAACTTAGCATCCGTGCTACAGCTGACCAAGTCTGGGCCTGGTTGTTGCCTGGATGAAGAACCATTGCAAGATTCTTGTACTGTGCTTAGAGTTCTATGAATGAGTTCCATGGAGGAATACCAGACATCTATATGAAATATACATACATGAGTTAAACTAGCAAAATTATGACTTTATATGGATAACACCTACCTGTGACAAATTACATGATTGGTTTTTAGCTGGTCAATTTGACAAGATGAGCAGGGTATAAATTAAATAAATAAATAAATAAACAATCAATTCAATCAATCAATCAATCAATCAATCAATCAATCAATCAATCAATCAATATCTGTATCTGAAGATGTCCATACTAGCCTATATCTGTTGGTGTTCTTTGTTTTGTTTCTCTTTGATTTCCAAAGTAATGTTTTTTTCCTGGATACCTTAGTAGAGTGCCTAGCAATACAGAATTCCCTTCTGTGTGGGTGACCATATTTCACCACTCCCTTATTGGCATAGATTAGGCATCCTTCAGTCTCGTGAGACTATGGTAATGTGCTCTGAATAGAGGACTTGGAACGGCGTCTAGTGTGGCTGAGGAGGCCAATTTGAGAGTGACAATCCCTTCCACACGGAAGACAAGTACAATCTGTCCCCTTCCAGCTCCCTGATTTTGCTGGTTTCAGGACTTCCTCTTTGCCTCGGCCTGCTGGACAAGCGTCTCTTCAAAATGGGAGAGGCCATGATGCACCACCTGCCTCCAGGCTGAATGCTCAGATGTCAAAGTTTCCCATCTATTCAAGTTCATTCCTAAAGCCTTCAGATCCCGCTTGCAGATATCCTTGTATCACAGCTATGGTCTCCCTCTGGGTTGCTTTCCCTGCACTAATTCTCCATACGGATCTTTTGGAATCCAACCATTGGCCATTCTCATGACATGCCTGAGCCAACATAGACGTCGCTGTTTCAATAATGTATGCATGCTAAAAATCCAAGCTCGTTCTAGGACTACTCTATTTGGAACTTTGTCCTGCCATGTGATACCAAAAACGTATATGAAACGTTTTCAACTTCCTCTCCTGCCGTGCACAAAGGGTCCAGGACTCACGGCAGTACAGGAGTGTACTCAGGACACAGGCTCTATAGACCTGGATCTTGGTATATGCTGCCAGCTTCTTATTGAGTCATGCTCTCTTTGTGAGTCTAGAAAACATGGTAGCTGCTTTGCCAATGTGTTTATCCAGTTCAACATCTAGGGAAGGGGTCTCAGAGATCGAGGTGGACATCCAGTCTTGGGAAGGATTGTAAAAAGGATATCCCTGCTAACCAAGTCAAAGGCCTTTGTAAGATCTATGAAGGCCACAAAGAGTGGCTGTCGTTGTTTCCTACATTTCTCCTGCAACTGTCGGAGGGAGAATACCATGTCAGTGGTGGATCTATTAGCTCGAAATCCACATTGCGACTCTGGAGAGACTCTGTCTGCAAGCACCTGAAGCCTCTTCAGCACAACATGGGCAAGCAGCTTCCCTACAACACTGAGAAGAGAGATGCCACAGTAGTTATTGCAGTCGCCCCTGTCTCCTTTGTTCTTATACAATGTGACAATGTTTGCATCCTTCATGTCCTGTGGTACTCCACCTTCGCTCCAGCAAAGACAAAAGACTTATACAGCTCAGTGGTGATGATCTCTTTACAGCATTTCAGCAGGGATGTTATCCTTCCCAGGTCTCTTGCCAGAGGTGAAGAAATCCAAGGCCGCTTTTATTTCCGCTAAAGTTGGTTTGCTGTCCAACTCTTCCAAGACAGGAAATGTTGAAGGTAGCAGGAAAAGAGGAAGACCAAAGATGAGGTGAATCAACTCCATAAAGGAAATTGTAGTCTTGAGTTTGCAAGGGTTCTTAAAGACAGGACATTTTGGAGATCACTCATTCATAAAATTGTGTAAGCCAGAGGTAAAACAAAAAGCAAAGCAAAGCATGTTGGTTATATACCACCTCATAGCACTTAAATCACTTTCCGGGCAGTTTACATTTTAAATATGCATGCTACACGTTCCCCCACCCCCAGCAAGCTGGGTATTCAATTCACCAGCCTCAGAAGGATGGAAGGCTGAGTCAACCTGGCACCGGCTACCTGGGATTGAACTTGGGTCGTGAGCAGAGTTTTGGCTGCAGTTCAGCAGTTTAACCACTGTGCCATGAGGCTCCTTAACACAAGACTCCTCGTGTTGTGTGTGTGTCAGTATACAAACACAACAGTAGCCTATCCTGTCATTTCTCTTGGCAAACCTGTTTTGAACGCAGGGGAATTTTGGAAATCCTAGTTGACATGATATACTGATCTGCTGTTCGAAGCAAAATGTCAAAAGTCCCATTGGTGCACAAAACCTTCAGCGTGCATGAAGTAGTTCTTTAGATCTGATATATTAATTTCTTGAGATTTAAGCCTCATTAAAATTATTTAGCATATTGTTTTCTGATATTACTGATAAAAGGGTGATACTGATAACCTATGTTCTAGAACAAAGTCCAGGTAAATAATTAAAATCACAGAATTTTTAAAAACACATTTCTGACTTGTCAGTTCTGTGAAGCATGTTACACACTGTTTAATTGTTTTTCATTTAATTTTTTTCCCTTGAGATTCTTGTCACAGATTTAGTTACTGAAACACTTCTAAATCCTAACCATTGTTATCTTCTCTTGGTGGAAAAAGAATCAGTTATATTGTTTATTATATTAATTTCTTGAGATTTAAGCCTCATGAAAATTATTTAGCATATTGTTTTCTGATATTACTGATAACAGGGTGATACTGATAACCCATGTTCTGGAACAAAGTCCAGGTAAATAATTAAAATCACAGAATTTTTAAAAACACATTTCTGACTTGTCAGTTGTGTGAAGCATGTTACACACTGTTTAATTGTTTATTTTCATTTAATTTTTTTCCCCTGAGATTCTTGTCACAGATTTAGTTACTGAAACACTTCTAAATCCCAACCATTGTTATCTTCTCTTGGTGGAAAAAGAATCAGTTATATTGTTTATATATATTTCAAGAAATTGAGTCAAAACAAAGCTTGTGAAATGCACTGGTTAAGTGAGATGAATCCCAGTCTAAGTCTGTTTTGAATCAGTTTGCCTGTTAAAATCCATGCTGTGATAATCAAAGGTTGTTTCATACTATTTAAAAGTTAGTTTTTTTAAAAAAAGAAACACCTATTGATGTATATGAGGATTTGTTTTATATAAAAGGGCAACAGACTTTCCCTTTATACATGCTGCTTTCCTTCGTTTGTGAAAGTAACTTTGGTGCTATTCGATGCTTCTGACTCCCCCACTGTATTTTTTGTTGTATTCAGGGGGAAAACTTATTATAAATCATCATAGTTTCAATCTTTTTGAAAACTTTGTGTATAACACAGTAATTAGGACAGTGGGTCAGATGTTGAAATAACAGCATGTATGATTTATGATTGAATGTCCTCACGGGGTCTTCAAAGGTTTGAAGAAATGTTATGATCTTTTGCAGTTAAAATAGAAAAAAAAAGAGTGAATGAAAGAAACCAAGAAAGGAAAGGAAACATAGAACAAAACCTTGATTTCCCTTGCTTGTTTGTGTCAAACATGGCTTTTCTAACCTATGTCTCCATTAAAAAAAAACAAAAGTAAAACCAAGGTGAGCAATAACTGTCTCACAACTAGACCTGAAGCCAGATTGAAGTGGGTCAAGAACCTCTGGAGAGGAGAGACCATAACCTGCTCTAGAACCTTCCCCAAGAATGGGATATTAGATATTAGTCAGTAATTACAGTGGTGCCCCGCATAGCGACGATAATCCGTTCCGGATAAATCGTCGCTATCCGGATTTGTTGCTGTATGGGGCAAAAAACCCCATAGGAACGCATTAAACCCTGTTTAATGCGTTCCTATGTGGGGGAAACTCACCATTATGCGAAGATCCTCCATGGGGCGGCCATTTTTGGTGCCTCTAAAGCAAGGCAACACAGCAGGCGGCCATTTTGGAACCGCCGATCAGCTGTGCGAAAATGGGGCCTTTGGGAGGACCGTGGGGGAGGGCTCCCCTGTGGTCCTTCCAAAGCCCCCACCGGCATTTTCACCCAGCTGGGCGGTGGTGGCTTCAGAACGACCACGGGGGAGGGTTCCCCCACAGTCCTTCGGAAGCTCCCGCCGCTCAGCTGGGGGGAAATGCCGGCGGTGGCTTTGCGAGCATATCAGCTGTGCGAAAATGGGGCCTTTGGGAGGACCGTGGGGGAGGGCTCCCCTGTGGTCCTTCCAAAGCCCCCACCGGCATTTTCACCCAGCTGGGCGGTGGTGGCTTCAGAACGACCACGGGGGAGGGTTCCCCCACAGTCCTTCGGAAGCCCCCGCCGCTCAGCTGGGGGGAAATGCCGGCGGTGGCTTTGCGAGGATCGCGGGGGAGGGCACCCCCCGCAGTCCTTCTGAAGCCCCTGCCAGTCAGCTGGGGGAAAATGGGGCCTATGGGGAAAAATCGCAAAGCAATTTTTCCCCATATGCAACATTGAAATGCGATCGCAAAAAAGGGAAAAATCGCAAAGCAATTTTCCCCATATGCAACATCGAAATGCGATCGCAAAAAAGCCATCGCTATGCCGATTCGTCGTTAAACGGGGCCCCCCTTTAAGCGAGGCACCACTGTATTCAGTATTGTGGGGTCCAAAGAGGGCTTTTTTAAACGAATGATCTTACTATTGCCTTCTTGAAGCAAGATGAAATCCCTTTCTGTTGCATCAGGCATTCACTGCTCCTCCTGCCCAATCAACTAGCCCCTTTCTCATGGCTTTTATGAGCCAGGAAGGCCAAGGATCCATCAGGCACGTGGTAGCCCTTACCTCCTCGAGGATCCTGACCACATCATCAGGTTGCAGCAACTGAAACTCATCCATTAACACAAGAAACAGGGGACACTGTTACATTCACAGGGCCTGAAACAGCTACCACAACCCAAGACAGAGTGCAGCTCAACTTAAATCTTTAAGGAGAAAAGGTTACAGTTTTTAAAATTGAAGACAAGATTGAAGTAGTGATTAAAAAGAATTGTGGCATCAGTGCCTATGGAACTGAAACTATGAGACGTTTCCAAACCTCACAAATTTTCTTGGTGCCATCGACAAAGAGTTGTCTGAGGAGGACACATTACTTATCACACAACATTTGGAAAATGTGTAGCATAGTTTCTGTGAATATGTTCCTGGTACAAGCAAAAACTGGATTAGAGATCAATTTTTAGTTAATGTATATGAACTAGAGGGGCTCATAGGAGCAGGGGAAGACAAGCTCATAGAAATATCCACAGGTGGTGCTCTGAAACTGCAGTTCAAGGAACAAGCAGTCCCTTCCAAATTTCACCTACAAGCAGACTTTCCAGAACTATCAAAGAGACCTATGAAAGTATTGATGCATTTTGTAATGACATACTTGTGTGAAAAATCATTCTCTGCTCTAGTTTATCTTATAAGTAGAGAAACCATTTGAAAAACATAAGAGTCAGAACTCAGAATTCAAGTTTCAGCTATTAAGCCTGATATAACAAGGCTTGTAAGTGGAATGCAGCACCAGCCTTCTCATTCATTATACAGTGGTGCCTCGCTTAGCGACGTTAATCCGTGCAGCAAAAACCGCTGCTAAGCGATTTCATTGCTAAGCAATTTTAAAAAGCTCATAGAAACGCATTGAAACCCCTTCAGTGCGTTCCTATGGGCTCAAAAACTAACCTTATGCAAAAATCCTCCATTGCGGCAGCCATTTTTGGTGCCTCTAAAGCGAGGCAACACAGCGGGCGGCTATTTTGGAACCGCCAATCAGCTGTGCGAAAATGGGGCCTTTGCGATGATCACGGGGAAGCGATCATCGCAAAACTCCGCCGATCAGCTGCCTGAAAATGGGGGCTTTGCGATGATCGCTTCGCTGCGATCATCGCAAAGCGAATTTTCCCCATGGGGCCATCGCAAAGCGATCACTTTTGCGATCGCAAAACAGCATCACAAAGCGATTTCTTCACTATGTGGAGAGACTGCTATGCAAGGCACCACTGTACTTATATGAATAGGATGTATTCGCTTTTTCCCACCTGACTTGTGTTTAATTAGGTACAATTTTGTACAAATTATATTCATGTCGTTATCTAGCTTTCATTTTCGTGTGACATTTTGTATAGGTGTGTGAGACATACCATATTGTGTGTGTGTGGGCACATATGCCAGTAGAGATAATTCTCTCTCTCTCTCTCTCTCTCATTTTAACTCTCCCACTCCCAGAATTCTGTTGAGCGTGGATATCCATATGTCCCATCCTTACATGACTCAGTCAGAGGTGTTTTTTTAAGTATTGAAAAGTAATTATTTACTTAGTTTCTAAAAAACCTGCATTATTGTTGTTGTTGTTGTTGTTGTTATTATTATTATTGGTGGTGGTGGTGGTGGTGGCGGTGGTAGTAGTAGTAGTAGTAGTAGTAGTAGTAGTAGTAGTAAACAATACCAGGCACAGTCAATCAACATTATAAAACACTGAGTGGTAGTATATAACAGATACAAGTTTTAACCAAAAATGTAAGGTCTGTTAAATATTGGTGCAGTATGTATGCTGTTCCTAATATTGCTAATTTTTGTAGTTGCTGCTGTGATGCTGATGACAATGATTAAATTTGTATGGAATCATTCCAATAAAAATATCATAACAGGAGTGTGAGCACTAACAGATTAACTTATTTCTCCCTTCTCTCCAAATTTGAAGACCCCTAATAAGAAACTTTAAATAAATATTTTATGCACTTTAGAGTTTTAAATCTTCAGTTAGGTCTTAGTGGCAAAAAGAGATATTTATTTATTTAACTTATATGCCACCCACACTACCCAAAGGTCTCTATTTAAGGGGGGGCATGGTAAAGAAAAGGTTAAGAACTGTTGAATTAGAATATTTATAATTGAATTAAATAGCTTTCAGCACATCCATGTACATCAGTGCAACACTTAATTTCTTTTAAGTTATGTATACGTATATATTCACATTTACAGCAACAGAAGGTTCCCTGATGCCTGATTGGACTGATGCCAAACTTGTAGCTACAATGATACTTCTGACCGCAGATGTGGAAGAAATGAGGCATGGATACAAGTAAATATTGTTCCATGTATATAATTGTGTTTTAAGTGCAGTAGGATGCCCCTATCCATGGGATCAATATTACCCATTGCCTGAAAATATTAAATTTAAAAAATTCGCAATGATGTGGAAATCCATGATGTAATTACCAGAACTGACCACTAGAGGGGCCTCAGAGAACTCTGTGCATAGTGTTCACTATTATCTGTGCGTTTTTAGAATCTGTGCGTGGGTGGGGGGAAGCTTGGAACCAATCCCCCATGGATACTGCAGTCCTACTGTATCCTGGTTTTTTTAATTATTATTACATTTGTCAGTGTGAAAGACAATTAAACAAGTTTTGTCCCATTAGTAAAAATAGTCCAGGGGAGAATTACAACAAAAGCAGTTATAATAATTCATATCTTTCATAGGAATATGTTGTATAGAAGGGAGTCAGCAGGTAACTGAGATAGAGAAATCTTTTAAAATCTGATTTATATTTTTGAAATATTTTGTATACCATGGTTTTAAATTTTAATTGCTTTTTAAAAATTAATAGCTGGTTTTAAATTTTTGTATGCCACCTGAGGTAACCAGCAGGGGAGAAAAGTAGTATAAAAATCGAGCACAGAGAAGGATAATCCCCAGTTTAAGTCCCCAGAACTTAAAAGTGTTGTAGTTTGCCGTTTGTTCTGTGAGTGAGTAGCTGGGAAGTCTATCGATATGCGCGGTCATTCTTGAATCCAGCTTCTCAATGTGGTTATTAAAAGGAAGGTTATTAGAAGAAAGCGGCCAGCTCTGTCCCACCCACCCCTTTCTCAGTTGTAGACCTGAAAAAGCAGCAGAAACCTTCCCCTTAAGAGTCAGGCATGGGGAGAGCAGCATCTGAAGAGAAGGAGTGCCATCCTTCTCTCACTGTGTTGACAAAGCTGAGCAGGATTTCAGTATAAGGCAGTTTAGGAATGAGGTTAAGCTTGAATGTTGTGGGAATCATATTCTTCCCATCTTAAATTACAGTAAGGCACTAAAACAGGCATGATATGCCATCCAAATGACACATTACAGAAGGAAAGTTGGCTGGAGAACCGTGATGATTTATAAGGTAATTGAAAGTGGCTTGGTGGGGCCAAATAGTGTAAATACATTTGGTCTCACTGTTGCGTCTGGTCAAATAAGCTTTGTTGGCTTTTGAAACAATACAGAAACAGAGACATAAGCAGAGTAAACGTACATAGGATAAACAACAAATAACCCTTAGTGCTTTTGAAAGGTGGAGGTGTGTCTTTGGTGACAGTAACCTGCCTTCCGTTGTAATACAGTGGTGCCCCGCTTAACGATGTTAATTCGTTCCAGCGAAATCACTGTAGAACGAAAACGTTGTAAAGCAAAAATAAAAAACCTATTGAAACGCATTAAAACCTGGTTAATGCGTTCCAATTGGCTAAAAACTCACCGTCAAGCGAAGATCCTCCATACGGCGGCCATTTTCTGTGGCTGTATAGCGAGGAATCCGTCCCTAAGCACAGCGGGGAGCCATTTTGAGCACCTGGCGGCCATTTTGAAAACCCGACGATTGTTGTAATGCGAAGAATTGGTTCCCGAAACAGGGAACCGATCATCGTGCAGTGAAATTCCCCCATTTAAAACATTGCGATCGCAAAAACATTGTCGTGAAGCAGATTCATTGTAATGCGGGGTAATCATTAAGTGGGGCACGACTGTATTAATGAATGTAGCTTATCTACTTAGAAATCTGCAAAGCAGACAGTAGAGTATGTTTAGCATTTCTATGTTTGTGTAATACCAGGGGCAGTACAGAACGGGTTGAGCTGAAGTGTCTCCTAAATCCTCTGCTGGATGTCTTGCTGAAGCTTGGCACTAATCCATACATCTCTTCATTGAAAACCAATAAAAGCCTACAGCTGCTATTGAAGCTACTGCAATTGTGTTCAGTCAAGTGTTCCAGCCCGCAAGCTGGTCAGTGCTGTATCTTCAGAATGATGCTCTTACCAATTCTAATCCTCTAAATGGCGTAACTAGTGACAAGCAACTGAACAACGTAACCAGTCGTAATAGTTCATGCTGAAACATGAATTAATAGCTCAGATCTAGCCAGGAGGTGAGACTGAGGAGCCTAACACCGCGGGAGGCCCGGAAGGAAAAAACAAGAAACTGGGCCTTCTCGGTGGTGGCTCCTCGTCTTTGGAATAGCCTCCCTCCTGAGATTTGCATGGCCCCTTCCCGGGGCATCTTCAGACACCAACTGAAAACCTGGCTGTTCAAGCAAGCCTTTCCTCCATCCACCATCTGATTTTGTTTTTTGTGCCTTCTCCCATCTGGATTGTTGTGTTTTTTAGTAATATGTTGTTATGATTTTAAACTGTATTTAGATTTGATATGTTGTTACCCGCCCAGAGTCGTCGGTACGACTAGATGGGCAAGCTATAAATGTAACAAATAAATAAATAACTAAAGATCAAGTGGTGATACAAAAGCTTCCAAAGCATCTTAGAGCAGTGGTCCTCAACCTTGGGTCTCCAGATGTTCTTGGACTACAACTCCCAGAAGCCTTCACCATCACCTGTGCTGGCCAGGATTTCTGGGAGTTGAAGTCCAAGAACATTTGGAGGCCCAAGGTTGGGGACCACTGTCTTAGAGGGTATTAAAGTATCCCTAACAAATATTAGCTTTGATACAGGGACAATATAATATGTGTTCCTTTTTTTTTCTTATTGTATGAATGAGAATTCTCTCCCCCCCCCCCAGTATTACTGGTTTTTAAATATATCTTTATTTCGTTATGTTGACAGTTTAGATAATCATTCAAAATGACCCCCAAGAGCTAGTCCAGTCTTAGAAACTGGAATAAAAGATAGTGCATTCCATTTTAATCTTAAAACATGTGTTTTGAAGATGACATTGAGCTGGTGTCCCGGTTGGTGGAAGGCTTCTCTCAGTGGAGTATGGGAAGGAACACGTCTCCTGATTTCCCACTCCCCCACCCATCTGTTCTGAAGGGTTGGAGGAGCTTCAGAAAAGATTTGGGATAAATGTGATGCCGCAAGGGAAGGAGAAAGTCAAACCTGTTCCCCTTTGCTGTGGCAAAAGCCACCCATCAATTGGATCCATACACCAAACTTTGGCTTTAATCTTAGATACTGTATATTCAGTTGTATCTTTTACCCATGGTAGAATATACTGTCTAGGGTTCTCAATTAGATTTCTGTTTTATAGCTTTGGGAGAAATACACATGTGTAGTATTTTAATATAATTAATTTTTATACAGATGGAATAACAACATTTCTCCAGAAGGCATTGTTGCCTGCTACAGAAAGTATTTTGGATTTTTTCCTCAGAAGATTTGCAGCTCGTGAATTGAACACTGTGAGTCATCCGTGCAGAGATTAGTTTGGAGAAATTGTATTTGTTCTTATTCTGCAATTAAGCGATATTATTGCTTCCTTGCAGAATGCTGAGAAAATTGTCTAAAGAGTAAATTGGTTTTTTTTTTTGCTGTGTTTGATAATTGTTTACCAAAGCAGAAAATTTAAAATCTCTTTCCAACTTTGTAAAAATATTTGGAACCATGTGCAAAAAAAAAAAAAAGTTTGATGGATTTTATTTCATTTTTGTGTGGCTTCAGTAGAGAAAAGCCTTTGGGAGTGTGTGTGTGTGTTGGGGAAGGGAATAATTAATTGATATTCATTTATGTAATGTGTCTTGGTTGATACTTTACTATGGAAAAACAGTGTCCATTTAAATATGGTGCCAGACTTGATTTATAAGAGTGTTGGAATAATGTGTTGCAGTGTTTAGCTGTCGGAACTCTGAAGCTTATGTAACTGGGATGGAAGGGGAGTAAGGGCTGATGAACAACAATATTGGCAACCCCTGGTCTGCTCTGGCATGTTGACTGCCTGCACACCAGGATGTGAACGGTAGAAATATCTAGGCTTTGTTGATCTCCTGTGGTATCCCTCTGCAGGAGAAGACCTGGGTCCAGCGAACTGCAGAAGTAGTTTTGTATGTGTGGATGTCTATGTCAGCAACCATTCATCCTGTATCACAAAGTAATTCTAAACTTGAGGGTTTTGAACATTTGCTCCTGAGATGTTACAGGGCAACCTGATGATGAGGAGTTGGGGGAATGTTTTAAAAAAACTTATTGTGCTTCTGTAAAATAGATCTGTGGATTTCATTCATAAATCATATGGCTTAAAGTAATTATTAGAAATGTTTTTCTGTCTTTTTTGGGATTTTTAAAATGGAGTTCTGTAAAAAGGTATGCATTCATTTCAGATCTCAGATTTGCAGCACTGTAACTTGTATCTGGATGTGTTGTCAGAGATAACAAGCTTCTGCTCAGTCACTGGCTGGAATATGGGACCTTCTGTCTGCCGTTTCATCTCCTCTCTGATAGATGCCTCCCTCTGCAATCTGCAGGAGATAAGCAGTGAAGAGGTAATCTTGAAAGTCCTAAAACAGGAAGCTGAGTCATAACCTTACACTTCATACAAATGTTTTCACAAAATAATATGTTGTGCTTTCCATGATAGTAAACATCCGAGATAAGTGCAATTTAGTTTCAAACCTTGGCTTTGCTCTAGCATTCACCGAAGAAAACCTGATAAATACCATGTTAGATACAAAGACATTTTAGAAAACTAATTGTTTCCAATTCTTTCCTTGAAACTTACACAAAATTCCATTTATTAACAGAAAGCAGATTTATTTATTTTTAAAATTGTATTTATGTTTTGCCTTTCCCCCTATATATATTGTAACAAACATTATGATAAATAAATTACAATAGCAAAAAAGATTAAATAATTCAGAAACATTCATGTTTAGTGTTCTAGATCAGTGGTCCCCAACCTTGGGCCTCCAGATGTTCTTGGACTTCAACTCCCAGAAATCCTGGCCAGCAGAGGTGATGGTGAAGGCTTCTGGGTGTTGTAGTCCAAGAACATCTGGAGGCCCAAGGTTGGGGACAACTGTTCTAGATAAAATACGTAGTAGCAGATGTGCAAATACTGATTTGTGCATCTGGCAAACCCCTGTGATCTCTCATGTGACCTGCCACGCTGCATTTGAAAAGGATGGGAAAACTGGGTTTTTATGACCCCTAAGTGTTAACTCTTTGGATTCAAGCCAGCTCCAAATTTAGCTAAGAAAAAAGGAATATAAATAGTAAGCCTGCCTACTCTTGTACATGCACGTGCATGCGAATTTAGCACTTTTAAGGGACTGACATCTAAATAATAGTTTTTTAAGTGTTAATAGAATGAAGCATTATTAGAATAGATTATGCCTGTTATTGACCAAAATGCATGATCTTTATCAGATACTTCCAGTCTTTTCTCTGGACAGATTCTGAAATTGCTTCTGTTATTATGGTTGCAATTGAAAATGTAACATACATTTCAGTCCAGTGTCACAAATACTTGGTTAGTTATGTTTGGAGACAGCAGACCCATTAAAATCAATGGTAGCTTGTCATTCAGCCTTGACAACCCAAGTACCACTGAATCGGTGGACTTCGTCCAGGTCTGAATCCTGCCTATTAAGCTTAGAGTTTGAACCTGGTTACCTCAGCTCAGGGTGAATTAGATGTTACAAGTCTGACATTAAATGTAAGCATGTTCTCTCTGTCTTATTATATGTATATTTTATATCTATGAGGAACAACATTCCAAAAGAGAATCTTCCCTTGACAGTTCCTTCCAGCCCTGTTTTAATGGGCTCTTTCACTGTACACAAGCCCTCTTTTACCATACAGGCTTTTGCCTGTAGTCTGGCCCCCAGTGGAAACATCCTGCTCTGTCCCCATAAAGATAAAGAAAACCATTTGTGGTGGGGAAAAAAGTATACTGTTCATGATTTGTGCTAAAGATATTTTAATCTGTATTCAAATCAGTAGAAACATCTTTATTGATGCATTTTCCCCCATCATTCATTGGAGAACATTGTAATAAGTTTACACAGTGATGTGACTTTGTGCCTTCAATTTTAGGACACAAAACTTGGGAAACAGATTCAGAAGGTAGTGAGCATGGCATCACTGTCTGTGGTTTGTAAAATAATCCGTCAGAAGCCAGCTCTTCATCTTGAATCTCTGCCATCTGTTGTCATCTTGAAGAAATCTATTTCCTGTTTTCAACTTAACCATGTGTTAAAGAAACCTTGCTGTATGGAAAAAAATAAGTATGTGTGTTAATTTAAGTATTTTACTCAAATATTCTAATCTAATTTTTTAATCTGCTTTCTTTACTCCTACCTTAATCCAAAATGCAGAATAACTTGGTGACTTCTTTATCCTTCTGACTTTTCAGTTCCTGATGTGTTCCTATTATCACATTCCTACTTAGTAGGTAAGGATTTTAGGGCTTAACTAACCTTGTAGTCATAAGCACACTTACTTGGAAGTATGTTCCCAATAAGTGTCTGTAGGGTTGTGCTGTTAATGAAGTGCTGTTAGTAGATCTTGATCACTAGTCAGATATTAAATTTAGTCTCTATTTTGTTTGAGGAACTACTTAGACACCTTAAGTCTTTTTGTAAAAGAATTACAGTCTCCAAGATGACCTACAGGTATTCTTACCTTTACAGTTCTCTTGAGGAACCAGTGTCTCATCAAGGATGGGGAAAAGTTGTAGCACGCTACCTACATGATCAGTGGGTTTGTCTTCATTTTGTCATGAGTGGTTCTCAAAGCCAATCTAAGGACAAGAATCTGGAACAATTTTTGCCTGATCTTCAAAGGTTTACAGAAATCTTTCAGGCAGCATTAGAAGCACTAACAGTTCTACCATCTGATCATGTTTTACCTGTGCTGCATTGCATGAAAATAATGACTTCCAAGGTAAATTATTTAAAATGATGTATTCGTTTATAATATAGTTTTGATTATTACTATTATTTTGTCACAAACTATATATTATTTCTTCTTTTTGGCTGTAGCTTCTGGAATCTTCTGAATCATTGTGCATTCAGGCTTTTGACTTAGCGTGGAAAATTGTAGTTTCTCTGTGCAACACACAGCTGATCTTTTGGCCTAATTTAAAGGCTTTTGTTCAGTTTGTGTTTGACCCTGAAATTCTTGCTGCTGCAGCAAAGAACAAAACCCAAATATACATGAAGATAAAGGAGGTAAAATATTTAAATCTCATGGCTAAATTTTTGTTGTCAATGGTTGCATTTAGATGATTCTGTTTCCACTTCAGCCGAGATATGTATGTGCTCTTGCATGGCTCTTTTGCGCACTGCTGAGCTGTGATTACACCAGGAATTGTGGATGTGAGCTTCAGAACAAGGTTTAATCTGGGGCATTAAACCTTGTTCTGAATTTGATTTAATATCCTAGTTTATTCTGAAGCAGCTAAGTAGTGTCTTCTACTGTCCAGGTCTATACAGCAAGCAGAAATGCTCATGCATATCTTGGCTCAACAAGCTTTTTCTGTCTCTGTGGAAGAACAAGTTTATGAGAAATGAGTTTCTTGGTTTTTGTCCAACATGTTCACATAGAATATAAGCTTTTAAATGTTAACATTAAAACTCTAATCATTCTTTGTGTAAGAATGATCACTGGAGATAATATCTTTGTTGCCATACTTGGTGTGAGAATTGGAACAAGATTTTTCATTCCTGTCATAATGAATTAAGAGTTATAGAAGCGTATGTCCCGGATCCGTTTCAGTCGGGCTTCAGGCCGCATCACGGCACGGAAACGGCATTGGTTGCCCTGCTGGAGGGCCTACTTAGGGAGGGGGTCAGGGGCAAAATGTCCTCCTTGATATCTCAGCCGCCTTTGATACTGTTGACCATGGTATCCTCCTGGGGAGGTTCTCCCAGTTGGGGATTGGTGGCCTTTCTCTCACTTGGCTCCGGTCCTTCTTGGAGGGCAGTCTTCAGAGAGTGCAACTTGGGGAGAATGTACAGTATTGGCCCCGGGGTCCCACAGGGTTCGATCATCTCCCCAATGCTGTTTAGCATCTATATGAGGCTGTTGGGGGGTGTCATCCGGGGATGTGGAGCTTTGTGTCGCCAATACACTGATGGCACCCAGCTCTACATCTCCTTTTTCCCATCTACAGTGGATGCTGTTCTGTCCCTTGGATGCTGCCTAGAGGCCGTTATGCAATGGATGCAGTCGAATGAACTGAGGTTGAACCCGAACAAGACAGAGGTCCTGTGGGTGGGTGGCCCCAATGTCAGTAGTTTGGGGAACTCCCTCTCTTTTTTGGGGTGTGTGTGTGACTCTCACCACAAAGAAATTGGTTTGCAGTCTGGGGGTCCATCTTGACCCGGCGCTTACCATGGAGACCCAGGTAGTGTCCGTGGTTTGGTCTGCCCACTTACATCTTTGGTGGATCACCCAGCTGCATTCCTATCTAGACACGGGGGCGCTCACCACGTTGGTCCATGCGCTTGTAGTCCCAAGAATAGACTACTGTAACACTCTCTACGTGGGACTTCCTTTGAGACTGATGCAGAAGCTTCAGATGGTCCAGAACATGGCGGCCAGGCTATTAACAGGGGTGAAAAGATTTTACCATATTTCCCCTATACTGGCCACCTTACACTGGCTACCTATTCACTTCCGCATTGATTACTAGGTGTTAACCATTACATATAAAGCCCTTAATGGTTTAGGACCTCGATACCTGGCAGAGCGCCTTCTTCTGCTCAGCTCTACCCATATCACCCACTCCAGTCAGGCTGGGTGGCTGAGGGGCCTAACGCCAAGAGAGGCCCAGTGGGAAAAAAACAGAAATCGGGCCTTCTCGGCAGTGGCCCCTCGGCTTTGAAACAACTTACCTGCTGAGATCTGCCTGGCTCCCTTGCTGAGGGCCTTCAAGACTAACTTGAAGTCATGGCTATACAGGCAGGCCTTTCCTACAGCCATTACTTAGCCTATCTCCTCTTTTCTTCTTTTTCTTTTCTCTCCTTCTTCCTTTTCTCCCCCCTTTTCTTTTTTCCTTTCCCATCTTGGATTAATCTGGATTTTATCTTAGTTTATTTTTTTATATTATATGTAAACCACCCAGAGTAAACCCGTTCTAGATGGGCGGTATATAAATCTAATAAATAATTTTTTTTAAATATAAATTATGTGTTTTTCATTAGTACTTCAAGTCCAGATAAATAAAAGTGTATTGAACTTCTTAAAACACATGAAAAAGTAGGAGAAAAACGTTAGAAAGAATCAAGTATCTTATGTTAACATAGTACTGCACATTAACATACTACTATGCATCCTCTCCATCACCCTTTTTACCACCTTTATTGCCATCTGTTTTAATTTCCCTAATCATGTATTAATTTATTTTTATCATGTTTTTAATATTATTCCTTATAGAGTGGCCTGGTTGCCAGATGGTGAGGGATATAAATTCAAACAAACAAACAAACAAACAAACAAACAAACAAACAAACAAACAAACAAATAAATAAATAAATAAATAAATAAATAAATAAAATAAATAAATAAAGTCTCACATATTTTGAAAATGTACAGTATGCAAAACTGTGTACTTGAGCAGATTCTTGTTCACACATTGGACTTCCCCTTCTTCCCCTCCTGTGTCCCTACAACCCTTCGAAAACAGCTCATCACAAGAGATCTGAGGTGTGTTCCACCAGTGGCCACACACATTTGGATGCAACCATGTGGTCAAGTATCCTTTAGGGCTTGCCTAGCTAGTGGAACTGTGTCTGTCTTCAGAAAGCATATAGACAGCAGTAGTTCTTCCTTCCACAAGCAGCCCCTCATGTTTCCCCAAAGCCTGCTTCCGTGCTCCAGAGGGCTGAAAGACTCTCTTGGTAAACCTTTTGGGTGTCATGGATGGCTGCAGGTGGGAGGGAAGGAGAGGAAAATCATTTAGTGTTTGCAGACAGCCACTAGTGCAACATTGTATTTAGGCTTTGGCTTGTGTGTTTGTATTTCTTATTAAGAAATAAGGCTATTATTTCTTTTCCTCCTCTTAGATCATGTTTCAGATGATAGAAATGTCTTCTACAAAAACGGGAGTGTTAAATGTACTTTTGAGTTATTGTTGCCAATCTTGGGTATGTCCAACTCCTGCTGACACAACTGTTGCAGAAAACGCCTTTTCAAATGCTTTGAATTATAGCGAACTTCTTATAGAGGCATGTTTGTTTGGAACTGTTTTCAGACGCGATCAAAGGTAAAAAAAGAGAGAAACATTTACTGTATATGGGGAATATTTCCTGTTGACTTACTGGCTGTATAGCCTAAACTGTAGTAAGTTATATTAAATAAATGAATAGTCCTTATTCTCCCCCCCTTTTTTCTTCACCTTTTAAATAACAAACTAATACCAAGACTCATCCAGGAGGTGTGTGCTTTTGTAGAAGGCCTTGGATCTGGATGTGCAGCAAATGTTGTTACAGAGAGGTCAGTATTTATTTTATTTGGTTTTGAAATAACACTCAGCTTTGTGCCACTTTCTCCTCCATACTTCTTTGGAAACCTTTCAAAGAAGTATGATAATAAATGAACTCTATGATTGTATATGTTCCAGCTTATTAAATGTATGTCTGTATGAGATGTATGCAAATACATATTTTGATATTGATCCTGAATAAACCCAATCATCAACATAGGCATATTACAGCTTTTCTTCAGAATCATAATTTAACTGCATTGTGTTTAACAGTAGGCTGCTAAGAGCTGACTGTGAAAAAGAAAGAACAAGGTAAATATACCTTGCTTTCTTTTTTAATACAACGTGCCTGTAATCCAAAGAACAACATGACAAGCTCTGTTCAACTCAGGGAACGTCCACCTTCTGTATTTTGAAGTGTGGCCCTCCATACCACATGGCATATCCCATCGGAAATCAACAAGCATTCCTAAAGCAGTTTGTGGCATGGGCCTAAACCCTCATCCCACCTAAAGTATACTTCTTTAACTGCTGGGATTATGATTCAATAGGTCTACTGTGGTTCGAACTGGCAAATAAAATTTCGAACCATGGCACGAGGTTCTGCTCTTTATAGAAAACAAAAATTAGTAGGAATGGCCAAACTGTTTGAATAGATCTAAAATAGATTTTGGCTCCATTGGCTGCTCCAGCCGGAGACAGAGTACAGTGGTGCCTTGACTTACGAACTTAATTGGTTCCAGAACTCTGGTCATAACTCAAAATCGTCGTAACTCAAAGCAGCATTTTCCATTGAAATACATTGAAATGCAATTAATCTGTTCTGGCCGAAGGGAAAAAAATTACTAAAAAAAAAAATCACTGCAAGACTCATCGGAAACACGATTAATCTCTTCTGGCCAAAGGGAGAAACACACGATTAATCCCTTCTGGCCAAAGGGAGAGAGAAAAAAGAAAAGTAATCAAGTGTGCAAGACCCATCAGAAATGCAAAGAAAACAAAGCAAAAGGCAAGCAAAGCAAGCAGAGCACATCAGAAATGCAAGGAAAGCAAAGGAAAAAGCAAGGGAAGCAAGCAGAGCACATCGGAAATGCAAAGAAAGAAGAGGTGTCGGCATCTTTTTTTTTCTTTGCAGAGTAAGATACTATTCTCTCTTCTGCATTGAAATAATTTTAGCAAGGAACAGGGTTTTCCATTGTATATGTTACAATGGTTTTTCCATAGTTTTTTTGTGGATTGCTTCAATAGGATTAATAACTTCCTTCTCAAAGCTGATTTTGGTAGGGCATTTTATTCTCATCTGTCTGTAAAATCTGCAGGAGTGCTGTTTAGTCCTGCAGTCTATACTGCAAGACTAAAACAGCATGCTTTCAGAGTGCTCACAACTCAAGCTAGTGTTGTAAGGCAGTTGCAAATGTCTTAGGGATATCTGATAAGCTGTTTACACAGTAAAAAGCATTTGCTTTCAAAAAAGTGAGTGCAGAAGGCAGCAGGCAAGCAGGACTCTTTCTCCTTCTACACCTTACCTCACTGCTGTTCTGCTGCTTTTAAAGCAATTTTTCCCCCTGGCATGGGAGAAAATTCCTCAAAGCTCAAGAGTGCAACAACATAATTCAGGGAAGAAGGCTAGGTGTTACTCTCTTTCTCTGCACACTCTCTTTTGTGTAAGATGTAGATTCCACAAATCTATTTTGACAGAAACATTTAAGTAACATGTTCTTGCTCTCCCACTTCTAGTTTGATTACCAGTGAATAATTATTCCAGAAAGTGAGGTTTCATGCTCCAAAGTTCCCTTCTCAGTTTTACTCACAGGAACGAAAAAGGTTTAGCTAAGACACAAGAAAATATTGTATTGTTCCATTTGTCATAATAGGACAAAATTCTTGCAGGGAAAAAAGATCTTCATAGGTTTGAGAACTGGGCTGAAAACATCAGAATGAAGTGTAACAGGTAAAGTTCTACAGCTAGGGGGGAAAATCAAATGCACAGTTACAAGATGGGGGATATTTGGCTCAGTATTACTATGAGTGAGAAGGATCTTGGAATTGTTGTAGATCAAAAGCTGACTATGAGCTAATAGTGTGATGTGGCTGCAAAAAAGGCAAATGTGATTTTAGGATGTATAAACAGAAGTATAGTCTCCAAGGTTTATGAGGTACTAATTCCTCTCTATTCAGCACTGGTTAGGTCTAGTCTAAAGTGCTGTGTCCAGTTCTGATCACCACACTTTAAAAAGGATGCCAATAAACTGGAATAATTTCAGAGGAGGGCAAAAAGTATTATCAGGGGACTAGAAATCAAACCCTGTGAGGAAATAACAGAAAGGGCTGGGCATGTTTAGCCTTGAGAAAAGAAAACTGAGTGGAGATATGATAGTACTTTTCAAATACCTGAAAGGTAGTCATACAAAGGAAGCATAGGATCTGTTCTCGATCATAACAGAGTAGAAGGTATGTCATAATGGTTTCAAGCTAAAGGAGGCCAGATTTCGGTTGAATATTGGGAAAACCTTCTTAGTTGTTAGAGCAGTATGACAGTGGGACCAATTAGGATGTGGTAAGAACTCCAACGCTGGAGGCATTCAAGAAAAAATTGGACAACTATCTATCTGATCTACTTTGATGGATTCTTGCATTGAGCAGGGGGTTGGACTCAATGGTCTTAAAAGCCCGTTCCAACTCATTTGTTCTGTGAAATAATCTGTGTGAGGTGGTCTCATATCAGAAGCTGGATTTGTCCTTGTTTTAATTTAACTTTACAAAATATTCCACTTAGGCATGTACAGTCTTGTGCTGATTTCAGGGGATGCAAGTTCCATGGATTTCAGTGGGACTTGCTCCCCTGTTGATATTTTGGGCTCTTTTAATGAGAAATGCAAGGTGAAAATATTTAAATAAACAATAAATAAATAAATACGTGCATGGTTGCGGCCTCAGTTTTCAAACCAGTAGTCAATATTATTGGGAAAAGTGTGATACCTAGTTCTGACACATATCTACTGTAATTTGTTACAGCGTGAACAGAGATGACCATTACGTGAGAGTTTGTGCTGTAAAATTTCTCTGCTTGTTAGATGAGTCAAATACATTGCACAAGAAGTTTATAGAAGACTTTGTTATTAAACTACTTGATAAAGTAAGGATCTTTACGTTCAAATATTCATGAAAATGCTAGATCTTGTCAGCTGCATGCCTGTCCTCCATACAGAGAGAGGATGGATTGTTCCTTACACTTCTGCTTGCTTGTTTGCTTGCTGTAATTGCAGTTTATGCTAAACATAAGATAGATAAATGGCATTGTTTCAAATGATGCTTAACATTTGAGTACTTCTATTTAAATTTTACTGGCATGTTCTGTTGCTGCTCTAGCTAACCTCCAAATAGTTTTCCTAGAGAACTGAAAAGTTAAAATGGGGTTTTGCAATGTTATCAAAATTCGATAATTCATTGTTACACGAAGACTCAGAAATAAACTCTGGCACCTTCCCAATATTATATGGATAATATAATAACCAGGAAAACATCCCAAAAGATGCCACTACTGAACTTCAACATTTCTTCAAATGGTATATTTCTCGTTCGAGACACTGGTTTAAGAAGAAAGTTATATCTGTTCAAATTTATATTTGCAGCATTGGACTTCTCCATGTTGCAGAGGAAGGCTGGGGTGTAAATTATAAAATAAATAAATTATTGTTGCTGTGCTTTTTGGCAAATACTGAACTAATCCTATGCACCCAGAATATTTACTCTTCGTGTTTATATTGTTTGTAGGATGAACTCATGTCTAAATCAAAAGTCCACTATTATGTGAATTCTTCACAACACAGGATTAAAAATCGACTGTGGCAGACATTGCTAGTTCTGTTTCCAAAACTTCACGAGGTATTACCTTATGCTGATTTTGTTTTCATTTGCTTTCATGAGGTGTAATCTTATATTGAAGACGTACAATGAAAATGTGATAATAAAAGAGGGAAATGTACATTTTGGTCACCAATTGTACATTAGATTATTTGAGAAATAGGGTGTTCTAATATTGTGATTCATTCAAATTTCCACAAAATAAACCTCTTTTAAAATTATGTGAAATCTGGGAAAATTGTGGTGGGTTCATGTGTGCATAGTGAAGGAGGTTTGCAAAGCACAAAATATGTCTCTCTCTCTCTCTCTTTTAAGGATTTCTTAACTAGAATCGTTGACAGGATTCTACAGGCTGGATGTAGCAATAATCAAGCATCTGTAAAATATTTCATAGAATGGAATATCATCTTGATTCTACATAGATTTCCCCATTTTCTTCAAAAATTCTGGGATTGTTTTAACTTTGTGAGTATTCAGTTTTGAGTAATTCAGGCATACATGTGTTTCTTTAACAATGATTGCATAGAAGAACATCGGTCTTAACTGATTGATCAGGCAATGCAATAATATGCATTCCTTTGTTTAGATGGATTCTTTAGCTAATGTGCTGCCTTGAATGTTCTGCAACCAGAATTTTGTATAGAAACAGAGGAACTGTAATTAAGGTTCAGTTTTATGGAGAAGCTGGCCAGTATCTGCATGTTTTAATCATCATCGTCATCTTAGAACTGCAGAGCTCGAAGGGACTCTCATGAAGTGTAATAGCTCCATAGCTGGAGCATTCAGCATTTCCCTCTCCTGATTTCAGACTTGCAGTTATGCAATGCAGAGATTTATTGCTATCTGTGGGATTAGTGGATCCCTCCCTACCACCATGCAAGGAGATGCAATGCAGAGATTTATTGCTATCTGTGAGGTTAGTGGATCCCTCCCTACCCCCATGCAAGGAGTGGAAATAGAGGAACCACATGTAAAGTACATGGTTCTCTGCCCTTATTCACAAACAGGGTACTGGCCAAAAGTGACTGTTATTACTAGGGCCAACATTGATAGAGAAGTATGATGACTGTGAAAGAAATATGTCATGAAAAAGTCTTTGATACTAACAGACAGCTTACTCTTCAGGATGAAGACAGCCTTAAAACATGTGTTTGCACGTTTTTAGCAGTGCTATCCCGTTTTGACATAATTCTTCAGAATATATCTGAAAAGGTAAGTGTTGTGTTGCTTGAAACTGATTAATAGAATAGAGGGAACAAAGAGATCCCTGACCCTTGTAAAATCCACCTGGGATTACTGCAGGACAGTCCATGAGGGGTTGCCTTGGAAAACAAATTGGAAACTCAGAGGCAGACCAAAGGCCTGTCTAGTTCATTGCCTGATTTCTCAAATGTCTAGAACAAGAGGGCGCTCTGCCTTGGAAAACAAATTGGAAACTCAGAGCCAGAGGAGCCCTGTCAGATCAGACCAAAGGCCTGTCTAGTCCATTGCCTGATCTAGGATGAGAGGGCGCTTGTCCTCTCCAGTTGTGGTTGTTTCTCAGCAGCTGGTATTGACACCCCTATGGATTCTTGAGATAATACACAGTGAAATAGAGGTGATACACAGCTGTCATGGCTTTCAGCCATGGATAGCTTAGACCTTGATGAAGTGGTCCAACCTCCTTTATTACATAGGTGGCCATCGCTACCTCTTGATGTAACAGGTTTCATTATTTTAACTACATGCTGTATGAAAAAAAATGTCCTGAATATCACATCTATTATGTCCTGCCCATGCTTACTCTCTTTTCCCCAATAAACATCAGTTAGCTAGGCTGATAAGAGGTACGGGTCATTTGGAACATATCTCACCTGTTTTCAAACAGTCAGAGTGTCTTCCCATGTTTCTGGACTCTAGTGCAGACCTCTGGTTTTAAGATACAGTGCTTGATACAGTTCGATAGATGCTATTTCAAAGCTTGCCTACTCCTCTCTATGAACTTGTAAATTAATTTCTAAAGAAATAGTTGTGTCAGTCTGTCTAAGAATGTTGGCAAAAGAACCCCCTTTTGGTTAAATATTGTGGTACAAGTGTCTTCCCATGTTTCTGGACTCTAGTGCAGACCTCTGGTTTTAAGATACAGTGCTTGATACAGTTCGATAGATGCTATTTCAAAGCTTGCCTACTCCTCTCTATGAACTTGTAAATTAATTTCTAAAGAAATAGTTGTGTCAGTCTGTCTAAGAATGTTGGCAAAAGAACCCCCTTTTGGTCAAATATTGTGGTACTTTAAAGACTAGCAGTTTTATTTCATGTTGAATTTTCATGGATCAACTTCAGCGAAAGCTCCACTTCCTCCAATACAGGAAGGGACTACACAGTCTTCATATTTATACACATTACCACAACTGTGTTAGGATACAAGATAACAGACAAAATGGCAGAGATATACAGAAATGGGACTATCCAGCTGTTCATTATTTCACATATCAGGTCGTAGGCAGAATAATATGCAGTAAGACAGGTGACATGGCTGTCAGAGGGATGCTGAATAGTGTTTCAGTGGCAGAGGCCAGTCTGTCAAGGGAGATGGCTGTTTATTAATTTGTAAGCTCTCTGGATTTTAATCCTAGTTTTTAAATGCCAGAATAAAATGCTTAAACGAATAAAGTTTTATTAAATAAGGGGTTTCAACATTTGCTGTATAATTTGGAGTCAGAAATTGTAGTAGTGAACCATAGTTAGGTATGAAGCCGAAAAACGTTTCTGATATTCTGATGATGGTTACCTTGGATACGTGGAGGGAACTGCAGTGACGATTGAGCATCCAAGCTAATTCATTCCCAAGTATTAAATGTTACATGTACAGAAACTGGATCAATCATATGTATCTGATTTCTTCCACAGCTTTGTGGAAATCAGATTTATGAACTAAGAATGCTTTTCTCCATTTAGATTCCCGCTTTGAAGAAAGGCCTTGTTGTTGTCCTGCAGTGGTGTTTCCATCACAATTTCAGTATCCGTCTGTATGCTTTAATCGCCCTTAAGAAAATTTGGGGAATGTGCAAAGCATCACACGTGGATGATTTTGAAACTTTAACTCCAGTTATTGAGAGTAGTCTTCTTCAAGCAGAAAGGATGCATGGAACAGGGTTAGTGGCACATTTTATTCAAAACATCTATTTATTTATTTATTTATTTATTTTTCTTTCTTTCTTTCTTTCTTTTTTATTGTTCTCATATCCCTGCTTGGTCGTGGGAACTCTTTGGTAGGGTAGAACTGGTAAAACCACTTCTTAAATATCCGACTTACCTTGAAAGCCCTATTAGGGTCACCATAATTTGGTTCCAACTTGAAAGCACTTAACATAACACATAAAATTTGCTTGTTATAAATGTGTCAATCCTTTAAAACAGGAATATTTTAGATCACTTATGGATGAGTTAGAGCTTCTTTGGTATTTCTGTTGTGGTCATATGATTAAGTTTTTTAAAACAAATTCAGCAGCAACAGGTGGACTGAAATTACTCCAGTTGACTTCAGTCCTTAAAATAGGACAGACTATAAAATGAAGTATGTAAGCCTGTTTTAATTTTATTTCAGGCGGGCTTTGTTTGAGATTCTTCTCTTTAAAACACAATGGGTAAAAGAACTCAAACTCAGACTATCATTGCTGAGATTTGATGACAGTATATTTCACTTCCGCTCTTATTTCACATGCAGAGTAACAGGAGCATGATAATCATGCTGGTCCGTAGATACAGCATGGGAAAACAAAGTTGTGCTTACAGAAAAGGTTTAGAAGGTACCATATCTCTATCTTAATTCTGCTGAAGCAAAAACTTACTATTGGTGTTTATTTGAATAGGCAAATAGTGGAGCAATTTGTACTGTAGCTCTCCAGATCCTGTGGACTCCAGCTCCCATCATCTTCAACCACTGACCATACTGTCTGGGGCGGATGGGAGTCGGGAGTCCAACAGTATATGGAAGAGCCACCGATTCCCCATCCCCGTAGGATAGAAAATGATTTGCTGATAAGGAAGCTGAATGCCACTGCATCATTGCAGGTACTGGGGTGTCTGCATCCTGGGTGCTTCTTCCCTTTTCTGTACCACAGCTCTGAGAGCAGGACTGATGAATCCATGTGGTCTGCCAGATGCTGTTTGGCTGTAGCTGCTGCCCCCCGCCAAGTCAGTGGGAGGTAGTAAGGGATGATGAGAGCTTGAGTCCAGCTATATCTGGAGGGTCACATAATCACATAGTAGGTCTTAAACTTTGTAGGCAGCTTATACTTTTCCAATCTCATTTTTGTCAACGTTGAATATATTTCACAGGCTCAGAGGACATTATTCCAAGTGTTCGTTTAACAATGGCTTCTAATGCCAAATCTTCCAACTGCATTTTAAATGCCACTGGACAATGAAGCAGTTGTCTGTCATTTTCTTACAGCACAAAAAAGACTAGAAGAAATCCAGTGCATACTTCTCGCAGTCATTGCTCAGTGGGTTGCAACCATACAGAGATCCACAAATCTGTGTACACTCATTTGTTATTGTTAAGTCCTGTCCGACTCTTGGTGACACTCAGTGGGACTCCCTTATTGATTCTGTGGCAAAAGCTCAACCTTGCATGAAAGGAATGTGTGTGTAGACCAGGGCCCTTTATAGAAACCATATGGAGCTCCTTATGTGCCAGGAAGAAATCCTTGGCTTAGCATGATGCTTTGTGACTTTCTAATTGCAATTTTCCTACTTATTATTTTTACAACATGCAGCAATGCTAAAAAGAATTGGCAGCGTATTCAGAAACACTTCTTCTTTGAAAAATTCCATCCAATTGAGGATTATTGTCTTGAGGTATGTACAGAATGCACGAACGTTCAGGATTTTTTTTTTTTTAAAAAATCTGTTCTAGGTCAGTCCATCCATCTGTCCTATTGCTGAACGTGACCGTGTGGCAATGCCATGTTAAGATTAGTTTCAGGGAGACTGGCTTCACATCCCCATTTAGTTATGCAGCTCACTGGGTGATTGTGGGTCACTGGCTGTCTTGGCTTCATCTACCTCACAAGATTGTTCTGAGCAAAAACAAACAAACAAACAAACAAACAAAACAACTACAAAAGGGAAGAGCCCAATAGAGGTCTTCAATAGAAATCCAGAGGGAAAGGATTGCATAAAAACTAAATATGTCAACATTAGGGATGTTATATGAAATGAATGAAATGCAATTCTGGGTAAAGAGCTAGAGCATCAACCTCAAACTTTTCGATTTTACCATGTGTCATGCGCTGTTTTCACTGCAGAATCCAATAATGTATATTTTTCTAATGAGGCTTTGTCAGAACGATCCAACCGTGCCCAAGAAATATGGAAACCTTGTGTCACAGCAGTATTCATGCTTGCATTTGTACAATTTGATGCTCTATCTCGGGGGTGGTCAATTAATTTCTATAGGGGGCCACATGAAAAATCTGAACTGTGTTTGGGGGTGGGTAGTAATAGGCCCGCATTGGGTTGTGCGGTGAACGAACTACAAGGCTGACATAGTTAACTCTCTAAACCTTTTAGAGAGTTAACTATGTGAGCATTGTAATTCGTTTACCGCGGGGGGGAACCCCCCCCGACACTGAGCTAACTCACCTGTCCTCCGTTCCCCCGCAGCCTTCCACTCCGACTGTCTTCTATCCCGCGCAGGCGACATGATGTGTCATCACGTCACCTGCACAAGGATCGCTTCCAGCCTCTTGAGCCACAGGCTCCACAGCCTGCGGCTCAAGAGTAACAGTCAAAACTTGCGAGATCCCAGCATCGGATCTCGTGAGTTTTGCTTACTGCTGTGCTGGGTGACCGGAGCTTGGAGCTCCGGCTCAGTCAGTGGCGACGGGTGGGCCAGACAGGAGCGGCTCGCGGGCCGCACTTTGCCCAGGTCTGCTCTATCTTGTGCATTTCTATTCAGAATCAAGCTTTACTGAGGCCAATAAGATTTACTCCTCCATTGAAGATAGGATCACAAACTTATTCTGCTTTTTGTTGGCGGAATTTTACAAATCCCTGAAATCCTTCTTCCCAGATCTTTGGAAACCAAGCCCACTTCTCATGCCTTCAGGCCTAACTCTGTAAAAGACAGAAACTGGCTTTAATAAAGACCTTAGTTGGGCTGTTGAATTCTGTGTTTGCATGGAATCTCAGGATACACACAAACCATCACATAATATAGGAGACAATATCCTTTTCTGTGAAAGGTGAAATTGATGATTACTGACTGGCAATGTGTCTTTATTTTATATACTGTATAGTTTCTGAGCAGATAAGGTTATCTGTGCCTACATCCCATTTAGGTCAGTGGGGTTTAAATCCTGATGGGAGACATTTAAGCAAGGAGACAATATCCTTTTCTGTGAAAGGTGGAGACATTTAAGCGTGTGCTTACTTGTTTAATCTGTCTGTGGAGCCAGAGGTTGGGAGCTGGATTCCCCACAGTGCTTCCTATGAAGTAGAGCCAGCCTGTGTGGCCTTGGGCAAGCTGCACAGTATCAGGGGTGCCCCCAGAAGAAGGCAATGGGAAACCGCTCCTGTGTATTCTTTACCTTAGAAACCCCTTAAAGTCTCCATATGTCAGAATTGACTTGATGGCACATAATTACTTTTCTTTTAGAATAATTCTGTTTGGTTTTCTCAGCCACATACATTTTAATATTTTTAATTTTAATTGATTTTTGAAAATATTATTTTTCAGACAATATTTTACACACTGCCACGTCTTTCAGAAATTGCTGAGGAGGAGTGGATTTCTGTCTCTAAATTCACTGCCTTCCAAGACCTCCCACTGAGCCCAACATTTCCATGTTCTCATTCTTGCACTGCGCTCCTTGATCTAACGCCAAGTGACTGGTCTCAGCAAGATATGGGTGAATAGTTTTTATTTTGAATACATGTAGTAGTGTGAACTTACTATAAAACAGCTATGTGTGTTTTATAAGGTACCAGTAAAACATATTATGTGGCATTTAAGAACACAAATGGCTACTGAGTAGGAATGGTATATTTGTCCTAAAAAACTGTAGTCCTACAAACTGTGGCTAGGATTTCCAAGACTTTTTTGCATTTGAATAATTAAACAGTATCTCTCAGGTCTGAATTCATTGGAGCCATGTAATAAAAGGCAATGGGCAGACGTTCAAAAAAAAATTATTCCTTGGAAGGATAGTATTCCCGAGTTGGATCTAGAGCTTGTGTTTCAAGATCGGGCTACTAAACTTGGCAAATCAAACAGTAAACTGATTGTAGTGGCTTCGCTCCTCGATAAACCAACCAATTTGGGAGGTAAGATATTCCCCACTTTTACCACGTAGCATTTAGAAAGCAAGTTATGTAGTTTATATTTTAAAAGTAACAAACATACATTGTATTTAACCATGGTATTATAAGAATTTTCAGGAGAGTTTCTTTCGTATTGGTAATTGAATGCTAGACGAGTTTGCAGCACCTTGTTATAGGTTATGTATATTTGTCATAAGCTGGCGGGATAGCTTAGTGGTTTCGGAGGTTGGGAGTTTGATCCCCAATGGGCCTCCTGTGCATCATAAGCTGGCGGGATAGCTTAGTGGTTTTGGAGGTTGGGAGTTTGATCCCCAGTGGGCCTCCTGTGCGTAGAGCTGGCCTGTGTGGCCTTGGGCAAGCTGCACTGTTCTAGGATGCCCCCAGAAGAAGGGAATGGGACACCACTTGTGAGTATTCTCTACCTAGAAAACCCTAAAAAATATCACCATTAGTCAAAATTGACTTAGCAGCACATGATTATTATTTTTTATACTTCGTTTAAAATCTTGAAGGCAATAAGTGTTTGGGTATGGCCAGATTTGAAACAGAAACTTGACCACATGCTCAAAATACTCTGCTTCTTTCATAGGGTTATGTCGCACATGTGAAATATTTGGTGCATCTGCTCTAGTTGTTGGCAGTCTTCATTACATAAACGACAAACAATTTCAGTACCTCAGTGTTTCTGCTGAACAATGGGTTTGCCTTATTGAGGTGAGTAAAAAAAAAGTTTAAAAATTGCTTCCAGTTGTCTTGAACAGGCATGCCTAGCTGATGCACCCAGAAGCTTTATTTCAGTGTCAAGATGTTGCACATAATCTACAGCGCTTTTGACTTAAATAGCAAGGGGCAGCTTGCCCCTGAAAATAAGACTTATGCATGTTTCTAGATAATATGACCCATGGCTGGACAGAGCACTGAGAGAAGGCCCAGAGCCTTCCTGCCCTGCTTGTGGAAACGAGATGGTTCCCAGACTGAGATTGTAGCCTTTCTTTTGAGCCACATAGAGTAACTTATCAGACTATATAGCAGGTACCCAGTGCATAGTGGATAATGAGGCAGGCTAGGACTCTGGAGACCAGGATTCAAATCCTCGTAGTCTTGGAACCTTACTGGAGGAGTTAAATTGGTAAAACTACTCCTTAAATATCTCAATTACCATGAAAGCCCTATTAGGGTCACTGTATGTCGGTTCCAACTTAATGGCATATAACAACACATGAAACTTTTGATTGATCAAACTCTGGCATGTTTTCTGACATAACTATTTTGTTATGTATTAATGAAGATGGTATATATATATATTTAAAAATCTGTAACCATCTCATTTTTTAATATGCAGGTAAAACCATTTCAGCTTGTTGATTATTTAGAGCAGAAGAAAATAGAAGGTTACACTATAATAGGTGTGGAGCAAACAGCTAAAAGTTGTGATCTAACAGAGTACTCCTTTCCAGAAAAATCCTTGTTACTGTTGGGGTAAGTGAAAGAAGTGTTTTCTTTCCTAAACCTATTTTTCAAACAAGGATGTGGAACCCTTAATGCTAAGGGCTACACTGGAGATCATCTATTTGGGGTCTGTTTGTGTGTGTGCGGTGGGTACATGCTGGGGGTGGCTGAGCATGAAGCCCTCCCCCTCCCTTACATCCACATCTCTCTAGTCAGCAGACTTCCTGTGACACACATTTTTCTTGCAGGCAGTCTGATTTGCAAAGGGCTGTTTGCCCACGTGCCCATCACCACTCTGTTTAAGCATTTTTACTGCCTTTTTTTCTGGGTACTATATACATGTAAAATTAGGCCAAGAGCCAGAAATGCTCCAGATTGACTGTAGAATCAGATGCTGTACAGAAACAGATGAAGGTCTCAACTTTTGGTCCCTCAGTGGCCCTTTAGTGCAGAGGTCACTTGCTCCAGAGTCCAGATGCTTGTTAATTTGTGTTTTAAAATCAAAAAATGCTTGTATATGTAACAATCCACATGCAGCAAATGGTGTGAAATAATACCCTCATTCAGGGGCAGTCTCACCTCAAAATATTGCCACCACTCACTTCTAGTGACTGTGCCTTAGCTAGTCACTGAAGAGGGAATGGAATACAACATATTTTCTGTCTTAGGTGCAAGTGAAAACAGAGATGTCTTAAATGCACTATTACGGTAGTTATGGAAGGGCATGAAGAGGAAGAGATGTAACTAACAGAAGTAGGCATGTTTGTGTTTTGCACTACTGCTCCCAGAATTTCCCAAAACACAAACATATGCACATCCCTTGTAACTAACATAGTAACATCTCCATTATTTGAATCCTCTGGAGTTCCCAAATTCCACAACAGAGGCTGGACCTCTCAGATGTTTAGTCTACTTCCAAGCTGCTGGAAGTGCTAGGCTATATTTCCACAACCAGGATGAAAATACCTGAAGCTTCTTATTTAGTGTGTGAATATTGCTCTTTCTAATCCAGTACCATTAGCAGTTCTCCAAGGCCCAAAGCAGATCCTTGTTAACTGCTATCATTTTAGTTACCTCCCACATGGATTACTATAATGCACTCTACATAGGGTTTCCCTTGAAAAGTGCTTGCAGATTTCAGCAAGTCCAGAATGCTGCTGCCAGAGCGTTAACTGGAGCCGGTTTCGGGGATCGCTTAACTCCCTGCTAACAGCTCCAATGGCTGTAGGTCTGTTTCTGGGAACAATTTAGGTTTTGACCTATAAAACTGTGAACAACAACAACAAAACCCTATATCTCCCTTTATGGGACTACCTGGGTTTCAAAATCATCTTACTTCTGCCACCTGCTCAGGTGCATTTGGAGAGGACATGAGAACTTTTTCTGTTGCTGCTCCAAAGCTGTGGAACTCCCTCCCAGGTTGCCCCCCCCTTTGCTCTTTCCACAAGCAGTGAGAGAATAGTCTTTTCAGACATGTTTTTTCTTAGTAACTGCCTGCCAAAGAAGAGGTTCCTAAAAACTACGCTACTTTTTAAAAATGTTTTTAAATACTGTATTTTATAAAATATTGAAAACCACTTCAGGTACTCTTGAAGAGTAAAATAGGGTATAAATATTTTATGTACAGTGGTGCCTCGCACAGCGAGGTTAATTCGTTCCGGATTAACCCTCGCTGTGTGAAAGCATCGCTGTACGGATCAAAAAAATTGGAACGCATTAAACAGCGTTTAATGCGTTCCAAATGGTCAAAAACTCACCGTACAGCGATGCTTTTCCGGGTCCGGCAGCCATTTTCGCGCCCTCGGTAAGCGAGGGGAGGGCGCGAAAACGCTGCGTGCGGCCATTTCAGCCGCAGCGAGACCGCAGATCAGCTGGTCGGCGGGTCCAAAATGGCTGCCGGAACAGCCGAAATGGCCGCGCACAGCGTTTTCACGCCCTCCCCTCGTTTACCGAGGGCGCGAAAATGCTGTGCGCTGCCATTTCGGCTGTTCCGGCAGCCATTTTGGACCCGCCGACCAGCTGATTGGCGAGTCGCAAAGTGAAGGTCGGTAAGTGAACCGCTTACCGACCTTCGCTCTGCGATTTTCGCCCTATGCGGGCACCGTTTTGCGATCGCATTTGCGATTGCAAAAACGGCCTCGTAGAGCAGATTCATCGCTCTACGAGGCGCCCGTTGTGCGAGGCACCACTGTACATCAATAATAAATACTTTTTATCTGGTTGTAACATATGAATAAATATGCAACTGTCTATATACAAAGCTTGTGCTCTGTTAGCAAATCATGGATCTTCATTGCTTACTGTAACAAATTGTTGCATTTTTTCTGAGCAGAAATGAGCATGAGGGAATCCCTGTAAACCTGATCCAGCAGTTGGATACTTGTGTAGAAATTCCTCAGCAAGGAGTTATTCGATCACTTAATGTCCATGTAAGCGGAGCTCTGCTCATTTGGGAATATACAAGACAACAGATTTTGAAGGGAAAACAATCAAGGTGAACACATAACTCTTATGAAAACTGTTGTTCTGATGGTGCTATAAAAATCCAATGAGTTTTTAATAACATTGTTGAAAAAATAGTTTATAGTTACATGCTTTTAAAAAATGTAAATACCTTAAACCATGACTGTATTAAAATTATCCAATAAAGATTCTTTCAATACATGGGTGTCTTTGTAGCTTTCTTGGTTGATGCTACTTAACTCTTGGTTCTGTTGCTCTAAAACCATGACCCCAATTCTGTTAGTTACACTTGCAAGTGTAACAGAAACAGCCTAACGTTTGGAGGTGAAATGCCTCAAGTTAAGAAATCACTGTAAACATTACTTGTTTTGTACTGAGACACATGACTTGGCATGCAACAAATGACATGCACAATGATTTCTTAACTTGAGGAAATTTGCCACCAAAGGTTATTCTCTTTGCATACTGCTAGTGTAAAACTGCTAGTGTAAAACCCCAACATGATTTTGGCCAACCTGTATTCTTTTGAGGGTTTTGTTTGTCCTGTGTTGACCAACTATATGCCTTGCATGGAGTGTACGACTACGAATGGAAGTATAGGTGTTAATCCCCCTCTTCTGTGCACTGGACACCTAATTTAGCCTGACCTCACAGGAACAGTGGTTGCACAGAGCTGTAGGTGCCATGTAAGGAGCCCATGAACACATACTCTAACACAAAGATCATGGGGTACCTGGTTCCATACTGTACTTTTTAGTCAAGGGCCAAGTACAGTGGTGCCCCACATAGCGACGTTAATCGTCGCTATCCGGAAACATCGCAATGCAGGGGGGAAACGCCATAGAAACACATTAAACTTCATTTAATGCGTTCCTATGTGGCAAAAACTCACCGTTATGCAAAGGTCCTCCATAGCACCGCCATTTTCGCCGCCTCGGTAAGCGAGGAAATCGCGCGAAAATGGTTGCGGCAGCCATTTTGGAACCGCCAATCAGCTGTTCCGCAAACGCTTACCGATCATCGCAATGCGATGTTTAGGCTATTAAAACATCGCAATGCGATCGCATTAGCGATCGCAAAAAATAGATCGCTATGTGGATTCGTCGTTAAACGGTGCGCTTGTTATGCGAGGCACCACTGTATTAATGATTGCCTCGCTTCAGTTTGAAAGATTTCATATTTTAAAATTATGTACTTTCATATTCACAGTACAAAGAATCCCTCCACATTGTATGCACATAGGTGTGTCAGCAAAAATGAAAAGCACTACCAAAAAAGAACTATTCATTAGTAGTTAGGCAAGCCTAGGTTTACATACTCCTTCATTCTCTCTCAGAACTGCACAATAGGCAATACCTGCCTTTTCTTGATCAAGTAAGAGGGCTACTTGGATATAGGATAAAGATTCTGACTGTGGAAAAATTCAGTCAATGCAACACTTAGGTGCATGCAATTTATGCCCCACTATGGGTACAATAGAAAATCTAGCAAATGGCCAAGATAAAGCTATTGAAGTAGCCCACTTCTTGTAAAAAAACAGTCTAATTATCTTATTTTATTTTGTTATTAATTTTAGCTATATTTCATATATGTCCATAATTTTAAATTGTGCAATGCTCCGATATAAAGAAAGAATGCTTATCTTACCTGCATGTCAGAAAGGAAAATCAATATGTGAAAACCCTATGAATGGAGAGGAAACTATGTATAAAAGTAGAATATAGTGATGAATTCATAAGATGCTATGGAGAGGGATACCACATACTATTCACACTTTATTGGTGGTTGCAGCCTTTCCGTCATGATTGTTGCATGGGGGTCCCTTCCCTTCACCATGTACTTCACATGATGAGGTGAGCTGGATCTTTCAGACCAAGGCCAAAAAAACAAACATAGCTCCTCATATAATTTTTTAGGCCATTGGACTTATTTACTGATAATCAGTACTTTAGGTATCGCCATTGATACTGTTCTTCTGCAAACATCTTTGCAATTAATGTCTTTCCAACAGTCGATGGGTACCTACGACTTGTTTGGCGCTAAAGGTTCAAATCCTTTGGTTTCCAACAGTGCTTTGTATTTCAGATAGTCTCTTCTTCTGTTGAAGTATTTAACCTGTTTTGAACAAGATTCCTATTAAATAACAAAGCAGGCATAAAAAAATTCTAGCACACCAACAAAAATATGAACTATATATGACATTTATGTTTGTTAGGTTTACATCCTGCATTTCTTCCAATGAACTCAAGGCAGCTTGCGTGCCTCTTCCTTCCTCCTCCCGACAATCCTGAGAGGTTAAGTTGTAATGAGGTGCAGTAACTGGCCTGGGGTTACCCACTGAGAATCATCTTCGAATCCAAAACACTAACCACTAAACCACACTGGCTCTCTCAGATTTTATCACTGCAAACATGTTCAACTACTTGGAAATGCTGATCTCAGCTAAGTCATGGCATCACAACACCTTTGGTGAAGGTCTTCTCACACAAGAAGAGAGTTCTTGTGTCTTCTCGCTGTAAAGTAAGAGGGATAGGGATATGTCATAACTTTCTATTCATCAAGAGGTACAATTCTGTCTCCAGAGGCCTGCATTAGGACAAAAGCTTTCCAGCAAGGTTCCCTCTAAGGTACACGCCTACCTACATGATTACCTGCCTCTATGCAGGGCTCCTTCTCCTTCGCATACCCACGGCAATTGTTCTAGTCATGACAGAACCCGGTGCGGGAGGGAGGGAGTCGCAGAACCCAGAGTGGGAGGGAGGCTGCGTCCCACCCAATGGGGCTGAATAGAGGGAATGTCGCTGCACAGCATATAATATTTTTCAATGGGCATATAATGCCAGGATGTTTGAGATACCAGCAACAACTGTTCTATGAATGGCCACTGAATAATTGTCACTTGTCAGTGCTTTCTGTAATCAATTTCCCTCTGACTCACTGTTTACAATTTTGTTCTCCCCACTCTGTACTCATGAATTTAATATAGTTGGCATAGCCTGGGAAAGCTTATGCTATAATAATTTGTTCATCTTTAAGATACAAGTTTTTTTATAATTAACAGTATTAGTAGTGGTAGAGACAGAAAGAGAAGTCTATTTTACCCCCTTGCCTCTATTTCAATTGCTTGGCCCAGTATGCTGTTCATTTGGGCCTCATGCAGAACAGTACCTTACATGCACGGTTTCTTTCTGGCTGCCACCTGCACAAGGGGGAAGCCACTGCTCCCCTGTGCAAATGAAGATCTCCAGCCTGCACAATCACAAGACAGAGATCAGGAGGAGGAAGTGTGGATGCCTCTCCCTGCAGAACCATCACACTCCATGAAAAGAAATGGGATTCTAAATTAAGAATTAATATTTTGTTGAATACCATGTTAGTGTTACTTACCCATTGCTGTGGGCATGTTTTCTCAAAAGTACCCTTAAATATTTCACACTTAGTTGTGTCTTCCAAGTTTTCATCTAAGCACTTCCAGTACTCATCCCGGGCATCCCAGCAAGCCTTCCTTTCCTTCATTGATGGTGCTGACATTTTGGTGTCTAGTAATAAAAGAGTACAGATTTATCATTCTTGAATGGCTTGTGAAATTCTGCAGTTTAGAAGAATTACCAATCAATTTTGCACTTTACTTGGATGTCAAGTCCTTCTCATTTCACTGGCATTTATGTTCCAATAATATGCTAAGCAGTCCAACCAAGCACTTAAAATCAGTGAACAGCATGGATCTGAACCTGGATCTTGCCTGTCTTAGTCTATATTCTTTAACAACTGCCTGGAGGCAGGCGGTGCATCATGGCCTCTCCCAGTTTGAATACACTTGTCCAGCAGGCCAAGGCAAAGAGGCAGTCCCGAAACCAGCAAAATCAGGGAGCTGGACAGGGGCCAGATTGGATTTGTCTTCAGTGTGGAAGGGATTGTCACTCTCGAATCGGCCTTCTCAGCCACACTAGACGCTGTTCCAAGACCTCTATTCAGAGCACCTTACCACAGTCTCTTGAGACTGAAGGATGCTTACAATGCATGCTTACTTAGTACAGAATTACACAATATTCTGTTACAGTTCAAAGCAATTCCTTCAATAACAGAGTATTTTTTTATTTTTATAATTTCAATATTTATAAATAATTGAAAAACAAATGTAGCATCTAAAGGTGATTGAAATCTACTACTTTTTGCTAGCTGGAAATAGAGGAATTCCATCATGGGGCTTGAAACTTTAAGTGTATGCCAGAGCAGGCCAAACTCATTCAGCATCCTTATTACAGTGGATATAAAAAGTTTACATACCCCTGTCAAAATGTCTAGTGTCTGTGATGTAAAAAAATTAGACAAAGATAAATCATTTCAGAACTTTTTCGACCTTTAATGAGACCTATGAACTGTACAACTCAGTTGAACATCAAACTGAAATGTTTTGGGTGGAGAGAAGTAAAAACAAAAAACATTTTAATAGGGGTGTAAACTTTTTATATCCACTGTATGTCAGGCCATACTAACTCTGCAGTCAGTACTAACCATCAGAAAATGCTCAGGGAAGATTTCAGCAGGCTGTACTGTTGTTCCTTAGTCTTCTGATCATTCCACCCGCTCCCACATCTTAGAGTCTCTGGGGAAAACTAAAGCTGATATGCACCTTTAAAGGTGTGTTGTTTCCCTGCTGATGCTTAAGTACTACACACTGGTTTGGGGGCTGCCACTCCCTTGATAACTACAGTTTCAGTGTGAAGCAGTCAGATTTTAAATGGATCTATATAGTACAGTGAATGATTGTGTACTACAACAAATGCTTGAATGTGCAGGCCCCAGCAACTGATAAATTTCCCCATCCTTGCAGAACTGTGTGCAAGAGGTAACAAAAATCCTACAATCCAAAGACAAGGTTGGGCGATACCATTATTAGACTAATAAAAAACAGAATATATCCACATGAAAACTAGCTTCTGTTTTTGATATTTTAGTGTTTTAATAAAAGTATCACTCTACCTTGTCTTTGGATTGTGTACAAGGACCACATGACTATCTTTTTTTGAAGGGCCAAAAACCATTCTTTTAGATATTACAGAACAGATGAACTGTCATTCTTAGACTGTTAACATGTATTAAACAGTGAATTGGTATACAGTACTAAGCTGCATACAGAAGCCTCAGCAGAAGAACTTAAATGCTCAAAATAATAACCGATTTTCAAATGAAGGTTTTTAACAATGCTGAAAGCATCTATTCCTGAGGATTTCTTCTATTATTTTTTTAGCATTTTTAAGCAGACAAATTATAAATGACAAATATTAACTATTTACCATATTTTTGTATATAGGATGCTACTTTTGTCTAATATATTAAAAATTGAGGCTCATCTTATACAGAGAAATAAGGAGGCGGGAGGGATCAAAGACCTAAGCTTTCTCTTAGAGCAGAAACAGGGAAGAAGTGTTTCTCCAGACACAATTCTAGCCAGGTCATGACAGAATGCCATGCCTAGCAAGCTCAGTCAACAAGCTTTGAGGGCTTTCTCAGGCTCAACTGTACCAGCACAATTGCTATTGTTTCTTGCAATTATAACTTTCACACATTAATTGACATATCCTTCAATCCGGAAGAATTTTCACCAGAAGATAGAGAAAATATTGATCAGAATTATACTGATTAAGTTAAGAGAAATTAAAAGGCATTTTTCTACATGAATGGAGAATTTAAAATTAAGACCTCTGTAGGAAAAAGGCAAGCTAGAAAATTTTAAAATAATTTATTTAAGAGTAAAGAACAGGGTTCATTTCTGAATAGACAGACATGAGATTGTGCTGTAGAATGTGCCTGGGGGGCAGGGGACATCAAAAAACATCAGTGCTGAAACACTGCTGCAAGTATGCTCATCAACTGACTGGAAAAATCTGATACAAGTACATCTAAAACTGTATTTCTATCTTTGCCAGCAGGAAAAAGGCTCCAAGGACCATGTATATTCACTTCACAGTAAACTCCCAGTATTCAAACCTATATTCTACCTTTCACAAAGCATTCCAAAGTAGCTTGCAACACAAAACACACACAAAAATGCACACACCGCGGAAAGGATGATAGATGTTGTAGTCCAACAACATCTGAAACATGGCAAGCTGCCCCTTCCTTCTTTCAACTACAACACTGATGCCCACTCCCCTTCTTCCTGCCCTGCAACAATCATCAAAGCAGGAAGCAGGCAATCTGTCACGTGGTGAGGTTTGTATCCTGCCTTTCCTCCCATGAATTCGGGATATCATACATCAGCCATTCTCAATGGGGCCATACGGCCACTGGGTACATCTCAAGGGGGCCACAGACTGAAAACAATTCTTCACAAGCCCCCTTATAAGGTCCATTATGCAACTTACACAGTCCTGATTTGGCCTATACTTCTTTGAAATTATGTTTATGTTAAGGGCTCCCTTGCTCCTGACTTTAACCTCACAGGGACAAGGTCATTCCTTCCTTTCAGGGATCAGGACAGAACAGAAACGGATCAGGAGAGAACAGAAATTTAAGTGTCCTAAGCTGTACGCACACACGCACACGATAGCTGCCGTCATGAACTTTACTGGAGAGACTGCTGGGACGAGAATGGGCTAAGCCCTATTTGAAATTCCCACCTGCCCATGAAGTTTACTGGGTGACCTTGAACCAGTGCATCTCTATCAGCCTGGGGCACCTCTGGCAGTGGGTGTGAGAATAAGAAGCAGGCAGGAGGAGCTCCTCTGAGGAAAGACGGGACGAACATTTCCCCCCCCCCCGTCTCTCATCCACACGCCCGGCGGAGACACGCCTCGGGGCGGGTGGGAGAAAAGCCAGAGGGGGCCGCAGCCGCCTCTCGCACGGCATTCCCCCCCCCCGGGGGGTCTCAAAATGCTCGAGATAACCGCAGACTGTCAAGGGAAGGTAAACGAGGTTCCCAAGAGCGCGGGCGGAAGAGAGAAGGGACCCCCACACACACCGCCCGCCTCCTCGTCGCCCGCTCACCTCGTGGAGGAGGGCGGCGCGGGTGGAGAGCCGAGGCCGGAGAGAGCGTCCCGGCGCCGCCTCGTACATCGGGCCGGGCCCTGCGGGGAAAGAAGAGCAGCGCCGGAAGCGTCACGCGAAAGGGGACCCACCAAACCTCGCCTTCCTGCAACCCCCCGGACAAGCGAAGGCTCCGAGAGGATCTCTACCGCCACTTACCTCCACGCTTCCGGTAAAGTTGAGGAAACCCCGGATATACAGCGAGGTGAACCGGAAACGTTTGGGCCGCCGGGAAGCCTGTAGGAGAGAGGCGGAAGGAGGGCGTGTGCTCCCACCTGTGGTGCTTGGTCCCTGGGCGGTGATCAAGGATGCCAGGGCGCCCGTGTGTGCAGTTTCCAGTCACCCGCGGAGGCTGCTGGGCTGTAAAATAAAAACGTTTGAGCGTCTATATGGCGTCGCCCCCATGTTTGGTCTTTCAGCCAGCACAGTTGGTGGTGAAGACTTCTGGGAGTTGCCCAAGGTGGTCTACGGCATCGCCCCCATGTTTGGTCTTCCCAGCTTGTGATTTTCATTGCTCTTCGTGGTCCGTCTGCAGTTATGCCGGTCCCTGGTTAATTCCCGTTGTCTGTCCTTGACTCAACATGCAGTAGCTGTTATGTGCCATCAGGTTGCCCATGTATGGCAATAGTTGGTGGTGAAGACTTCTGGGAGTTGCCCAAGGTGGTCTACGGCATCGCCCCCATGTTTGGTCTTCCCAGCTTGTGATTTTCATTGCTCTTCGTGGTCCGTCTGCAGTTATGCCGGTCCCTGGTTAATTCCCGTTGTCTGTCCTTGACTCAACATGCAGTAGCTGTTATGTGCCATCAGGTTGCCCATGTATGGCAATCCTCCAGAAAGCCCTGGCATTAAGAATTGTGGTTGTTGTGGGTTTTTGGGGCTCTTTGGCCGTGTTCTGAAGGTTGTTCTTCCTGACATTTCAGCAGTCTTTCTGGCCAAAAGAGGTCTATGGACAGAGTTTCCGTGTTCTGAAGGTTGTTCTTCCTGACATTTCTTCAGTCTTTCTGACCAAAATTTTCAGAGGACTGGAGTAGGAACTCTATGGACAGAGTTCCTATTCTAGTCCTCTGAAGATGCCAGCCATAGAGACTGGTGAAACGTCAGGAAGAACCACCTTCAGAACATGGCCAAAGAGCCCGAAAAACCAAGAACCATTAGATCCCAGCTGTGAAAGCTTTGCAAATACATTAAGAGTTGTGTCCATGTCCTGCAGACAAAAGGCTCTGTCTTTCTTCTGTTTAATCAGTCCCTGTCAAGTTTCGTTTTCCTCTCTTGCCTCTGCTTTCAACTTTTCCCAGCATTATTCTCTTTTCCAGTAAGTCTTATTTTCTCCTGGTATGCTCGAAGTGACAGATTTTACTTTCTTGGGCTCCATGATCCCTGCAGATGGGGACAGCAGCCACAAAATTAAAAGACGCCTGCTTCTTGGGAGGAAAGTGATGACAAACCTAGACAGCATCTTAAAACGCAGAGACATCACCTTGCCAACAAAGGTCCACGTAGTCAAAGCTATGGTTTTTCCAGTAGTGATGTATGGAAGTGAGAGCTTGGACCATAAAGAAGGCTGGCCACTGAAGAGTTGATGCTTTTTAATTGTGATGCTGGAGGAGGCTCTTGGAGTTCCCTGGACTGCAAGGAGAACAAACCTATCCATTTTGAAGGAAATCAACGCTGAGTGCTCACTGGAAGGGCAGATCCTGAAACTGAGGCTCCAATACTTTGGCCATCTCACGAGAAGAGAAGACTCCCTGGAAAAGACCCTGATGTTGGGAAAGTGTGAAGGCAAGAGGAGAAGGGGACGATAGAGGATGAGATAGTTGGACAGTGTCACTGAAGCCACCAACATGAATTTGACCCAACTCCGGGAGGCAGTGGAAGACAGGAGAGCCTGGCGTGCTCTGGTTCATGGGGTCACAAAGAGTCAGACATGACTTAACAACAACAAATGCCCAAAGTACAGTAGCTTCTGTTTAGTTGTTTTTGCTTCTAGAGTAAGTTCAAGCTTGATTTGATCTTACACCTAGTTGCCTTTCTGGCAATCCAGGGTATCCCTGTGTCACACAATTTGATTGTCCTAATGTATAATCTATATTCTGAACAAGAGCCTAGTGTTAGGATAGACTATGGAGGAGAAAGATGATTTCTAGTATTTTAAATCTGTTCATTAGTGTGTGCTTATCACACAGAAATGTGTATCATACAGAAAACTGGATCATATTTGGTTGAAGTAGAACTGCAAATTAGTGGAAGAAATATCAATAATTAAGTTCACGTTAGCGAGACTTAATGTTTTACCCTCTAAGCTCATGGAGAGAAGATTTCAACATATATACATCTCTGATTGCCTGTGTCCATATAATGATGGCCAAGTAGAAACTGTAGGTTATATCATACTGTACTGTAGTTTCTATAGAGATCTACGTGCCAACCTCCTGAGCCCAATCATTCTCAGATATCCAGGGAGACCTGATGAATTTTACATCAAACTACTTACCGATCAAGACTCCCTTATTACATGCTCTGCTGCAAAAATTTGTGCAGCCGCAATGGCACAGCGCTCCCTTATAGTCTCCTGTGGTTCACAGGTTGACTGGTTTTAGCATGAGGGTGGTTTATTGTCGAGTGTAAAGAAATGTTCTGGTCCCAGCCGAAGGGAGGAAATATTTACAGATTTTTACAAATATGTAGGAAGGACTCCCTGTAACCCAAAGACCCTGTCCAAACACGATCCAATGGTTCAAAGGATAGCTATAAAAATGCTGCAATTGATTCTCCCCATATTTTACAACCAGTACACAAGTATTTGTTGCACACTTTTTAAATTACATTTATATATTTTAACCATATACAGTAATATGTTTTATGAAGTGGCTGTACACTTTTTAAATTGCATATTTTATATTTTAACCACATAATATGTTTTATGAACTGAATGTACATTTTTAAACTGCATTTTGTATATTTTAGCCATAAATATGTTTTATGAGCTGGTCACCCGACCCTAATAAATAAATGCAATTAAGTTACACAAGTGATACCATGTTACTGGCAGAAAAAAGCAACTGAGTTACTGAGGGAGAATGAAGAAACTACAAAATCAAGTTTACAGCGAAGGAGAAAAAAGTAGCATCTATACTTTCGTTTCTGAAAGTTGTAAACTGAAAGAAAAACTTCTCTAGCATCTATTACTTTTTTTTTCATAGTTCAGCTTCTCGGCATAACCGTGCCTCTGTATTTAAACACAGAGGCACTTTAATGTAATTATTTAATTACATTAAAGCAGTCGTATATATGTAAATAGGTGAGTTTTAATATTTAACAAAGTCTCTCTCTCTCTCTTTTGTCAGGTTATTTCAGAGAAAAGGCAAACCAACATGGTTGCCTGGCAGAACAATTTTCTATTCAGAATGTTCTAGAACAGTGGTTCCTAATCTTGGGTAAACCAGGTGTTCTTGTACTGCAACTCCCAGAAACCCGGGCCAGCACAGCTGGTGGTGAAGGCTTCTAAGAATTGCAGTCCAAGAATACCTGGTTTACCAAAGGGTGGGAACCACTGCCATAGACAATCAGCTTAAGCCCATGTTACACTAGCCTAGGATACCCATTGTGATGAAGTGGATAGAGCAAAGAACTAGGGTTCTGGAAAACAGGGTTTGAATCTCCAGTGGATCATGGAAACTCACTGGAATTGTGGAACTGATAAAGCCACTCCTTAAATATCCCACTTACCTTGTGAATTGGTGAATTTTCACTTACCTTGAAAGCCCTATTAGGGTTGCTATAAGTTGACTCTGACTTGAGGACACATGACAACAACGCTCTCCTAATTATAGGGATAGGATGTTTATACGTGACTTTGTTTATTTATGTTTTGTCTGTTACACTTGACGATTTCATTAGTCACAAGACCAATATGAAGTTCCATAGCCTTTGCTAGATTAGAGAAAGTTTGCTGATTAAGAAAATAAGAAACATTTTTTTTCTTTTTCCTTAGAAAAATAAATGATTTTTGCTGTGGCTCTACTCAGTTAACATTGATATTTGCATGACAAGAAAACATAATAGGAAAAACAGTTTACTTTTGTGTCTTTACAAAAATGAATGGGACTGTATCGGTTTGTTAATTACTCTGCAGTGCCCTCTAATGGATATTCAGTATGTTGCTACTTAGAAGGTTACTTTTTTTGGTGACAACTCAAAGCCATCTTTTTTCAAGGTTACATCTACTTGCCCTAAAGTAATCTCTAACAGCCAAAGCATTGATGTTCAAAACTCCATGTTATGATCACATTTCACATTTCCAGAGCTGCAATTCTTTAAGCATTTCAACATCTTTAAGCAGTTCAGTGTTTGTTCCCTATAAATTACCAATGCCTGGTCTAGTCTAGCAGTGGCCTGTGAATTACATCTTGTCCTTTGGGGCAGAGGGTAGTTCTCTCCCCCCCCCCCGAGCCTGGAAGTTGAAGGGAACACAATATAGAATCACTGATGGAAAATATCTTGAAGCCTCTTTCCCAAGTAAATAGACCTCTGTTTTCAGTCAGGACATAGCATTCTAAAGCAGGGCAGCTGTGACCTTCCCACAGTTTTTAAACTACACCCCCAAAATCTTGCATCACTAGTTGTAGTCATTAGGGTTGATGGGGTTTATAAGCAAATTGTATCTGGACAGTCACAGTTGCTTACCCTTCTGTTTAATGGTCAGTTCCAGTCATTCTAGAGAGTACAAAAGTTCTCATGTCATTTGTGAATTAATTTTCTCATCTCCCAAGAAGCAAAATGTATAGCAAAGTCGATGGAATATTCAGAACTTGAGGTACGGGAAGTGTCCTTGCTCTCCTAGTTAAACTATATTGTACTTATCTGGCACTACTAGTTGTGCAGCAATCTCAGTTGTCCAGCTTGCTTCCTCCTAGGGAGTGGGTGTGCTATTATGGTGTTTTCTTCAAGTAAGTAACTGGGGTGGGCTGACTGTCATTGGGCACAATGAGATAACTGTTTTAGATGAAGGATCTTAGGTCAGCAGCATCAGCTCCCTGGTCACTCTCCTCTGTTGGAGAAGACAGCTCCGTTTACTGCCCCCAAGCCAGCCTGCTGCACTCAGATGCAGTGGAAGATCATATCACTTTGCCACTGTTGAAGTAGAAATAACTGTCAGTCTAGTTTGCTTCAACAGGTGATTAGGTTTTCCATTTTCTCTTTTGCCTGAGATAGCAGAGCATCTTAGACTGGAAATGGACAGGATGGCCTTTTGGCCCGGTTGGAAACCAGGGTGACCAATGCCTAATTTGTCAAGTAACAAAGAACTGAAATTTTGGTGCACAGATGAGCAGTAC